CAGTTTTCGTGATAGGTCCATTCTCTGAAACCCCGTTCTCTTCCTGGCGTACAAATCCCATTGGGGTAGCTGTAAATAAATCTTCCAATAAAAAATGTTTAATCATAGATCTCTCAGCTCCTCATTCATCGCACAACCCCAGCATAAATTCACTCATACCTGACGAAGAGTTTTCCCTACAATACGCCATGCTAGACAACTACATGCAAGCCTTCCTACTCGCAGGCAGTTGAGTATGGCTGAAAAAAGACATTTCAAATGCATTCAAACTCCTGCCTCTTCATATGTCACTATGGCACATTCATGGCATAAAGTGGAGGGGAAAATACTACTTTGCAATCCGAATTACGTTTGCTTCAAGGAGGAGCCCTAACTGTTTGACATCTTCGCAGAAACCCTCTGCTTGCTGCTCCTAAACATAGTCAGGTGTCCATCAGTCAAACACTACTTGGACAATTTCTTACTGATTGAAAAAGGCTCTCACACACCTAAAAGCATCCTTAGTATCACATCCCTCTTCACATATCCCCTGGGTGTCCCCCTGCCCCCCGACAAAATGCTAGGCCCCACTACCAAACTGGTTTTCCTGGGCAAATCACTTGACACAGTATCCTTTCAACAAGCCTCCCCCAAGAGAAATTGGTCCGTATCGGAGAGGAGCTAGATCTATTCCTTCAGAGTGATACCTGCAATCAAAAAGGTCTTCACTACTAATTGGGGTCCCTAAATTTCATCATGCGGATCATCCCGCAGGGAAGATATTTCATCTCCAGGCTACTGTGTCTCTTACACGGGGTACCAGACATGGGTAATATCACAATCAACCCACCAGCCAGGGCAGATTTGCTCATGTGGAAGAATTTCATATTCGATTGGAATGGCGTCTTTATGTTTATCCCCCCACTATCTGAACAATCCCCAGTAATTTGGACAGAAGCAGCTGCCCATACCAGGCTCACTGCAATAGTTGGAAACTATTGTTTCAGGGACAACTGGCCCATGGAGACAGCTGCCTTGCCGCCCTTTAGAGAAACCTCAACTTTATTCTATATCTACCCTGTCGTGGCAGCAGCCCATTCCAGGGGCCATCTCTGGACAGGCAGTCAAATGCTACACAGACAATTCGGCGGCTTGCGAGATAATCAACAAAGGACGTTCCTCCTCATTAACAATCATGAGGTTGGTCCACAAGTTGACCTGGCTTTCCACCAAATCACAATTCTACCTAGTCTGCGAACACATCCCGGGTAAAAATAACACCTCAGCTGATACACTTTCCCAATCTCGTTTTCAGGTTTTTTCAAGGTACTCCTCTTCACCAACAACCAACCATCCAAGATACCGACATTCTACGAATTAATTATGGACTAACTGAACTGCTACAACATGCCCAATCCCTTACACACAACGCACTTTCAGCTAACACCAAGACTACTTATGCCAGGGCACTAACCATTTTCCAAAAATTTGCTGCTGAATTCAAAGTACAACGTAGTTTTTCCATAGAGACCATGGTGGCTTTTGCCTCCTTCTGCCACTTACATCTCAAATTATCACACAACACCATTAAACTATATCTCACAGGCGTACATCATCACATTCTCACTACTTTTCCCAATCACCCGCCTTTTCTAGCCTCTTATCCCATAAAGAATATCCTCAAAGTTATCAACAAAACAGTTTGCCCCTTTAAACCAGTAGGCTACCCACAGACAGGCCTATGTTCCGGAGACTCAGCGACATGTTCGACACCAGCCCCTTTTATTCACAGACTAATTCAGTCATTAAGGTCGCTACATTAATAGCCTTCTATGGCTTCCTTAGACCTAGAGAGTTTACCGTCACACGCCATTCAGATGACAATACTAGCTTAAAAATTTCTAACATGGTAAAAAACAACAACCAATACATTGTTTCAATGCAAACCTCAAAAACTAATCAGACTAACCACCCTACCACAACCCCCCTTTTTCCTACAGGGAACGACGGGTGCCCAGTTAAAATACTAGACTATTTTCTAATCATTCGACTCAGTCACCCACCTAACTCGCCACTACTACTCCACGATCAACCACTCGCCACATCCAAGTTCGTTTTTTACAACTCTGTTGTTAAGATTAGGCTACAACCCCTCTTCCTTTTCCAGACACTCCTTCAGATTAGGAGCAGCCTCATCAGCATCCAGCTCAAACAAACCAGTCCACATTATCAAAAGATCGGGCTGATGGAAGTCATCCGTATATAATACATATATTCCACAACCAAAGCAAGAGCCGAGGAAAGCTTTTAAAATTTTAGCCTTGTAAGAAGGCAATAAAGTGTGTTTTTTTTTATTATTCTTTTTGCCCTCTTTTATTACAGGCCTACTCGTTCGTTAATTTCGGCACAGCTCCACCAACTCTACACCACTCACCACATTCCATAATCTATTAAATTCCAACCACAAATATATATATATATATATATATATTTATAAATATATATATATGATCTAAGTACTTTTATATACATACACATACACTATCATTCATAGTGTATTTTAATATATATATATATATAATATAATATATTTATAATATATATATATATAATATGATACATTTATAATATATATATACATATATATATATATATATATACATATATATATAATATATTACTATTAAAATATACTTTGTATGATGTTAATAATGTACATATGATTATAATGTTTTATATATATATATATATATATATCTGTAAAAAATAAATAAATACATTTAAAAAAAATAAAAAAAATGTTTAAATTAAATACCTGTGTAACTTAATTCAAACTGTATTTGTATATTAATATACATATATATTTATGTCAAAATACATTTAGAATGTTATAAATATATATGTATATCTATATATATATATATATAGAAATAAAAATAATAAAACATTATATATATAATACTACATATTAATAAATGTAATATTTTTACATAATTAAGTAATTTTATTAATTACAATGTGAGGGACCTGTCTTACTAGCAAGACAGAGGGTCCAGAGAATTTGCTTCACAAGCACTTTATTTAACTCTGTAACTTTCTAAGACACCATAAAACCTGTACATGAGGGGTACTGTTTTACTCGGTAGACTTTGCTTAACAAAAATATTAGTGTTTCAAAACAATAAAACGTATCACAAGGATGATATCATCATTGAAAGTGCTGTTTTCTTGCATTTTTCACATACAAACGGCACTACTGACAATATAATTATGATACATTTTACTATAATGAAACACTAAATTTTGTGTTCAGTGAAGCCTCCCGAACATAATATGTACAGATTTTATGATGTTTTCAAGTTACCGAGTCAAATATAAGGCTTGCATTTTAGTTTTTTCACATTTAAATTTGCCAGGTTGGTTATGTTGACTTTGAGGCCATATAGTAGCAAAGGAATGAAAATTACCCCCATGATGGCATAAGTAGACAACCCAAGGTATTACAAGTGGGGAATGCACACTCTTTATATACATTTAAATTAGTTTATTTTTGCATTTTTTACACACAAACAAATATGAATACTAACTTTGGTCAGTGTTTATGACTTGTTGTGTTGGCCAGTGTTTATAAGTGGCTACAAAAAAAATAACATTTCTTAATTTCTCAATTTTTTTTATATTGTATTCATAATAAATAGTGTTTATAGCTAAATATATGATGTTAAATGAAAGCCCTGTTTTTCCTCAATAAAAAGATATATAATAAGTGTGGGTTAATATTAAAGAAGTGAATTATGGTTGAACAGACATATGGCGCAAATTCCAGGTTTTGTTTACATTTTGTTTTGATCAAAACTTGTACAATTGGCTCAGTCCTTAAGGGGTTAAATCAAGCTAATGAAACTTGAGTACCGTAGAGGTTCAATGAATATGACACCTGAAATTTCCTCTTAAATGTTTTTTTTTTTCTGCCTTGCAACAAATACTAAAGTTAAACCCTAGCTGATCTTTAAGCCAAGCTAATGCCAACTGAATCCTGTAGTAGGGTTGCCCATAAGGACACTCGGAGCAGTGCCTTACGATTATCAATATGGTGATAAAAAATATGCTGACATTAGTGAATGACCACTCATTGAGAGAGAAAGGGGGCTAAAACTATAGAAAAAAAAGAGACCAATATAGACAAGGCATTGCCTTAGTGTGTTATATAAGAATAAAAAAACAAGCCTCTTTAATGGGTTAATGTTTTGTAGGACCCATCTCCCTTTATTGAAAACTGTCTGGAAAAGCTATCTTGAGAGCAATTAGACATGTCATAAATGGACATTTATTAAATCTGTTCTTTTCAGTAGATTTTGCATAATGCTAGTCTGCTTTAAGAAATAATTATTGTGGAGGCTGAACATGCTGCCCATAAATGAAGGCATGATTTTGTCCTCTCTAATGAAGTGCTATCATTGTGTCATAGCACCAATGGTGGTTATACAGTACCCCTACAACAGGAAATATGTTCAAGCTGCAGTGGTAGTAATGAACCAGGAATAACAGACATTTTTAATAATTAGATAGAGAGGGTTGTTAATGTATGCAGAGACTTTTATTGTATGGGTATCTCTTTATTATACCGAGCTATATATTCATCACGGTGACACTTGCTGTATGAAATCATATGAGTATGTCCAACGGGGGCTCAGCTCTATGTATTGTTTCTTTGTATTATACTCAAATCTGTCTATAGTATGGGTATTTTTGTAATGTGTCCTGTTTTGTGTATTTCTGAGTATCTCTTTAGTAAATGCAGCTCTGTTTATTATATGGTGACTACCCTTAGAGGTTGACTACATAAAGTTAAGCTATTCGAGCCTAGCAGGACAGGATGTGGTGGTTACAAAGTGTGGAGGCACTTTTTGAGGGTTGAATCTAGACCCTTCTATCCTAAAGCTTCAGGATCTGCCACTGATTTAACCACTGAAGAAAGTAGATTTCATAATACAAAATGCAAATATACCAACAGTTTGCAGAGGATTGAGAAAATTATTTATTTAGCAAGAATGGATACAGTTACAATAAAGTTATAATGACAATACAGTCCAAAGGTTCCAACAACAATTAAATCCCAACAATGAATATGGTTTACTAAGAATATGCAGCAGGTATAACGTTAGAATTTCATCAAATAGCTAGAAAACATTTTCAGCATTGAGAAACAGTTATGATCCTCCATATTATCCTCCATATTTTTGGTGACTACTGTACTATATATGGCAAAACCATAAAACCATAATTTGGTAATAGACACCTCTACTTGATAAAGCTGCACAAGGTTAAAGTAAACAATGTATTGATGTACAAGATGCAGATAAGTTCTGTTTTTATGAAAAATATGACACAAATAGTGTCCAATAATTGAGAACAATATCAGATTTGCTTGTACACACAGCTAATATATCTTGTATTGGATTTTCACTTCCATTAAGCGTTTTATAAAACAAAGAAAAATAAAAAAAAAGACAATACAGAAAACAACAGTAAAATAGCAGATGGCGTTATAACATTCCACTTCATTTTATTTCTTCAAGAGAGGTATTGCAAGCTTTGTACATTGATGGTTTTGAGAAGGACACAGTCTATTTCTTGCACTTGTGATCGGATGCTAAAACAAAGTAGACACAAAGGGACAAATTAATACATCTTTTTATAATAATTTACACTCACATCCAACAAACATCATATTACGTTGATTTCATTACAACTCTGATTAGTTAAAAAAAAAAAAAGCCCTGAATTTCTTATGATTTTATGAGTCTATATGGAATCGTCATGGGTTTTAGACAAATGTTAAGCTTCTAATGGATATGTGTTATCCAACTAATTCATTTAATGTTATACAAATATATGCAATAGTTTCTATTTTGATTCAATTGTTTTGAAATATTGCATATGTGATGTGTGCAGGTGAAATGCTTACAGTTCATGCAACTCTTAAGTAAATACTAGTTCGTTATTTTTAAGTTTATTATAAAATACAAATATTATTATTATTATGATATTTATAGAGCGCCATCAAATTCCGCAGCGCTTTACAATGGGTAGACGAACAGACATGTAGTTGTAACCAGACAAGTTGGACACACAGGAACAGAGGGGTTGAGGGCCCTGCTCAATGAGTTTACATGCTAGAGGGAGTGGGGTAAAATTACACAAAAAGGTAAGGATATTATTACACTAGTGACAGTTGCAGAAGAGGAATCAGTCAGGAGCTATTAACAGTTTAATTGATACGCTTTTATGGGGTTTTTAACGATTTTTTGAAGGAGTGGAGACTGGGTGAGCATCTAACAGAGGAGGGAAGCGAGTTCCACAGAGAAATCTTGAAGGCGAGCATTAGAGGTGGGTGTACGGACAGAGGATAGACGTAAGTCTTCAGCAGAACTTAAGGGCCTAGACGGGACATACTTGTGTATTAGGGAAGATAGATAGGTGGGAGCAGCATTATGTAGAGATTTGAAAGCAAGAACCAGAATTTTAAATTGAGCTCTATATTTTATAGGAAGCCAATGTAGGGACTGACAGAAAGGTGAGGCATGGGAGGTGCGGGCGGACAGGAAGATGAGCCTCGCCGCCGCATTCATTATGGACTGTAACGGCACAAGTTGGGAGCACGTAAGACCACTGAGAAGCGGATTACAGAAGTCAAGGCGAGAAAGGACAGTGGGATGGACCAACACCTTAGTCGCATCTGGCGTTAAGTAGGGGCGAATGCGCGCAATGTTTTTGAGATGGAAATGACAGGATTTGGCGATAGATTGAACATGAGGCTTGAAGGAGAGGTCGGAGTCAAAGAGAACAAATATGAGTGCAATTTATTTTCTGACTTTGACAGATTCATAGCTAGGCATTTTATTTGCAATTTTATTACTTTTTGCCTACTATAGACCATTCATAATGACTGTTACTCACCTCCTGAATTTCTATGATCTGCAATGCTGCAAATAAAATTACATATATTTAAAATAAATGTAAAAACAATCTACCTAAAACAAACATTAACATGAATTGGACATAATTATATTTAATAGCAATTCGGCAATAATCTTCTTCAGTGCATCCTACTCCTCTTATTTTTTGGGACTACTAACGTTCTCAATAATAATACATTAGGTAGTAACCAAATCTTTATAGAAAAGGGGTTTACAGGAAGTAGAATCAATGTTATTCCAGAACTACCACTCCGGCGATTCGTTGACGACATTGCAGTAAGTAAAGCAATATAGAGCTTGTGGTCCTGCAATAGCTGTGGGCCTATCTTTTGGCCACCCCTGCTCTAGTACCTTGAACCCTCATAGCTCTCCTTACTCATCTGCTTTGCAACCCATAACCCATCATCTCTGCTTCCTTTAAAACTTTACCACCTCCTTCCTGGACTTTTCTCAGTCCCACTTCTTCTTAGCCCCCAATATAAGAAAACCTCTATCATTTTATCCCAAAAGTCAACCTATGCACAAATGCCTTCTCTGAAACTCCATTTTAAAGTGTATTTCTGACTCCAAACAATCTCCTCCCCCATTGTCAGTCAATCTCATCTAACCTCATTTATATCACCCTTGTATTACCTGTTCCACACCAGTGAACAGATTGTTGTGATATTTAATGGTACTGTATTAGTACCATATTTAATGGTACTAATAATATTCTGTTATATATCTTATTCTATACGCTATTCTAATTTTAACCCAGTTCGGCTTACTAGAAACTCTATAGACAACATATAAAGTACCATGGGAATTTTTGCTATACATGAAAATGAAGATATATTAATAATCAAGCTTTGTTTACTTTTTTATGATGTTTATGAGGTTTTTAAATCATGCTTGCATGACACCAGGAGTGTCCCTTTTTTCTTGATCTGAATACTAAATAATGAAATGTAGTAAAAAGGTGTAATACGCACTGAATGTTATGTCCATCCAGCAGATGTCTGTAGGTGTTGATTTCCATTTCTAGATGAGTCTTCTGGTCCATGAGAACTTGGTATTCGCGGTTCTGTTGTTCTAGGTCAGATCGGACTTGTGCTAGTTGAGACTCAATGTTATCAATCATGCATTGTAACTGGGAAAGCTGGGAACCAAATGTTGCCTCCGTCTCTGATAAGGTGCCCTCCAGAGCGGATTTCTGCCAATAATGGAACAGCAATATTAAATAACTAAATTAGTAATTTTCTTTTCATATTATGTTAGAATTAGTGTAGGACCCTCCGATATTGGGTCTTACTTTAACACAATGTGGCTTTATAAAATGTAAAAATATATTTTTATGTGTGCGCTGTTCCTTAATCTGTGTTATGTATATATTTTGGTCACTACGGAAGCACCATTCCTGTAAAATGCATTTTTCTGGTGTGCCCCCAATTCCCTTTTGTCTTTACCATGTAAGTTTGGAATCCAGACCAGATTCCTTTTGGGTTGAGCTCCCCCCCTGCCCTCCAGTTTCAGTTGTCCCTTTGGAGGTGATCACAGAAATGTATACATTTGAAGAGTTTTTGGATAGTAATGTCACATCAATTATAATTTTCATAGAGCAGATATATGATATGCATTGTGAATATGTACATCAAAGCACTTTAATTATTTAGTTTTGATACTGCATTTTTTTGAATTGCATTTATCACATTTTTGGTATTATATAGATTCACAATGCTCTTACACTTTAGCACTTTAGCTTATTTAGCACTAGCACAATGTAAATTGTTTTCCATGTTGGAATTAGTGTAGGGCCCAGCAATATTGGGTTAATGTGAAATAGTGGTGGGTTTAACACAATATGGCCATACGGTGGAACTGAATCCCCATATTTGTTTGCTGACTAGGTGATTTTAAGTGGCCTTATAAAAAATAAACATTTATTTTAATGTCTGCGCTGTTCTCCTATCTGTAGGACATACCATACTTAGCTGACTCTGCAATTCGATCTCCAGAGTCTGTAAAGATCGCTTTGAATCAATTATATCATTATTAACTGACTGTAACTGCACGGCTCCTACAGACATCTCACGGTCCAGTTCTGCGCTCTGCAGAGGGAACAATGCAGGCAACATACATATACATTATTTATTTTAATGTGAACATATAATACCATTCTTATTTATATCTAATCTGGTATAATATCAATGAATGCAGGTACCATTAAATCCTTTTAAGATAATTTTCTACAGTGGTGAAATATGGTTAATATTTACACATTTTTAGGATCAATAAGTGAAATAATATCTACATTTATGGAATTTGAAAAAATAAATAAAAATATGGATGTATGTTGACAATTTGATATAGATCTATATCTGCTGTCAGCTAGTGGTCCCATGATTTTAATGGTTAGACTTACCTTTGCCAAGAACATGTCCTCAGCTTCCCTGAGGTTCCTCTCCATCATGTTTTCATATTCTTCTCTGAGCTCAGATAAAGCTCTGTTTAGGTCAACAGATGGAGCAGCATTCATTTCTACATTGACTCTGGTTCCAAGCTGAGCACGCAGCTCATTCACTTCCTTCGAGAAAAACAAAGGATTAGGGTCAGAAGTGAAAGGAAAATCTGAAAGTCATTCATAAAGAACATTTGTGAAACAAAATTTAAAATATGGGTCAATCACCAGAACATTATTTTGATTTTCATGGTAATTTCTCAACGTTTAGAACTGGGCACCACATTTTTTCTTTATAAATAGCCCATTGTTATATCTATAGATAATAATACGTATTGATGTTAAATGAGTTACATAAATCAGATTTGTATAAAACAACCTTGATTAAAAGTCACTTTTCAAAGTATTTTCCATAACAACAATGTTAGAAATGTACAAGGTGGCATCTCAATATGTGCCTACAGTTCCTTAGCTTGGTTGTCTTAATGAATTATAGTGTGCATATTCTAAATATATCTTTGTTCTGAATTTAGTATTTTGATAAATTATTTGTAAAAGAAAAAAAAATCCACATTTCTCCATTTTACCCCTGAATGGTTGTTTCTCATCTGAGAAAGTTCTTGCTGGAGACATTGGACTTCTCCGGATAAGGTTTGCACTTCATTGTTAATTTGTTGTAAGACTCTTCTCAAGGAACCAGTATCTCCATCCACATTGCTTCTTGTGTTTTTCTCCATCTCACATCTAAATTGATAATAATATTAAATGAGCACACTATATTATATAATTAAGTCTGTATCACATTTCACTGTAACATTGGTTGAAACTAGTTTTTCCTGTATGGATTACCATGCCAAAAATGCAGCTTTTTGATAATTATGGCAATGACGTGAGCAGTTAGTAAAGGGTTGTGTAAAGGTATTTACAACATATTGTACTATGATTACACGGCATGCAACAACGAGCACTCCATATCATATTATTAAAACAATTAATGAAATATACATAAAAATTAGCACTGCACCACTGTTTACTTTAACAATGATCGAAAGTTAATTTTTTGAAAGGAAGACCAGAAAAAACAACAACTTGTGGCAACTATGGTAATGCAGTTAGTCAAGGATTGTTTGAGTTAAAGATATTTATCGCATAGTGTACTTTACTATAATTACACGGTATGCCACAATATAGATTGATTGAGTTATATATATTATACATAGTCAGTACTATCTTCCGCAATATGGGCAGAAACTCTGTTTTCAATACTTGACATTTCATTAAAAAAAAAAAATGCGACAATTACAAAAGCAAGTTCACCAACAGATTTATGGATTGTAACAATTAAAACTATACCAGGTAAACCAGTGTTTTAATCATTCAGACAAATGCCACAAAAACCTTAAGATTTACAACAACAGAGCTCATATGAAAATTTACAGCAGCTTTTTTAAATTACTTTGCTAAAGCAATTACTTTGGTGCTGGTAGACCTCTATTGACTCGAGAGGTACTGGGAAACAGTGTATAATCATCCTTAAACCATTGCAGTTAGAGAAGTCTTGCAGAATTAAGTTATGTATAATTGTATGCAAAGTCTTCTACTGTAATTTGTTTGTAGGATATGTGGATAAAAACACAAAGTCAAGAGAAGAATATATACAATGCAACAGATGAAGGAAGTGAAGTCTTCATAAGTTCTCATCAAACTGATTAAATTCATATACTTACCTGCTTCTGAAGTCATCTGCATTTTGTTGTGCACTATCTATCTGCAGGACAATCCTTGCACTGTGGATTGTGGATGAAGCAATCTGGTTAAAAAAAAGACGTTATATTTTCCATTCAAGAAAAATTATAGATCTTCAGAGTTTCTAATGCTAAAAACTTAAATTTAACCAGATAACACTATGTATAAAATTGATATATTATGAGTTGTCTGCAATACGTTATTGAAATTTTTTTAGTTTTTTCAGAAATGTTTGACTGGATTCTCTTAGAAGTCTGAGTCTCTGCTTACTGAACGGCAATTCCTCAACTAAAAAGTTTTGGCAGTAAGCAGAGTGAACCCTTTTCGGTTCTTGCTTGTTAAATTAAACTAATTATTAAAATTAAATTCAACATGAAAAAAAACTAACATGCTTATTGTTAGACAATGCTAAGTTTATTTCAAGTCAGTATACATGCATTATAGGTGGAATCACCCCACAAATAACTGCATTAGAGGTAATTGCTTAAGACATTTATTGGATTAATTAAACGCATACATGTCTTGTTTTACCTGGTTCTGGAGCTCCTGAATAGTCCTGAAGTACTCACTGGAGTCAGGAAGTGAGCTTGGGGCATTGTTTGCATACCATTCACATATCTTCCTTTCCAGCTCAGCATTCTCCTGCTCCAGCGAATGGACCTTGTCTAGATAGGAGGCAAGACGCTCATTCAGAGACCTCATTGTATCTTTCTCATTAATACGAAGTAGGTTATGAGCGTGGCTGCTAGAACTCTTGTGATGACTTGTAAGTTTACCATGACCACTTCCACCTCCATGTGCAAGACCAGCAGATGAACTGATAGATAGTTTTGAGTTTCCTCCAAGGTGGCTGGATGATTTATAGGAACCACCAGTATTAGAGCAGCTGAAGCTCTTATGGTGAAGTGTATTGGAGCTTCCATGATGAAGTGAAGAGATGCTACCAGAGGAACAATGGCCTCTAGAGCTGTGGCCTACCATGAGGGATCCAGAAGAAGAGTAGCTGCCTTGATGCTTCATGTTGATCTCTGATTGAGTTATACGAAGAATTGGAAATGTTTCTTCTTAAGAAAGTAAACTGCAAGTGTCTGCTAGACTATGACTTTCTTATATATGAAGCAAGTTAAATAGAATAAGGTTAATTTTATGGACATTTTATATGCATCATATTGCTTTATATAATGTTTTGTATCTGACTTAAATGTGCTTTAAAAATAATTAATTTGTGGAGTAATGAGAATGCTTACAGGTAGTGAATACAGTTATTAATGTTATAATTTATATTAAAAATGTAGATCAAAGGTATAAATCACCACACCCTTGGGAGTTCATTCTGATCCCATAGAGTTTGGCTGCCAATAGCTGATGTACGATGCAGTCAGAGAATATTTTATAAACAGACTTGAATTAAGTGTAAAAAAGGAAAGATGTAGCAGTGTAAATAGATAAAATTACCACTGACATAAATTGTGGGTTTAGCCTAAATATAAAGTGTATAATATATGGTCCAAGGAGTGCCAGGGCCGTCACGGAAGGTAGACCTGAAGAGGGCCAACCAGCATAAGTAATTTAAAGAATGATTAATTGGAGGGAGTGGGTGGGGATCATATCACTGGAGTGCGATTGAACTATGACCCCACAATCTGTTTAAGAAGACCCTAACTACATCCACAAATACAGGTCTTACATTTGACCATTTACTATGGTTCTCTTGATAGACATCACCATGATGCCATCCTTGCATTTCTTTTTTTCCCTATGCTGAAATGCAATAACTGCTTTTTCTGTAGCAGCATATGGTGGAACCAACATCAAACATTTAAATACTTTTGAAACTACTTAATATGACATCTTCGGCTGCCAACCCACTCCTACCCTTCTGTAAAAATATAAAATAAATACATTTCATGGAACACACAAGTAAATATTATTTTGATTTTATATTTATACTGATATTTATATACTGATATATACTGATATTTTTTTACATAATATGCAAGATTGCATATTATATAAAGAATATCAGAAACGTCACTGTAGGTCCCAGAATGAGCAGTAATGGGTTACTGTGATTGGTTGAGAATAACACCTGACAACTTTCTGCTTCTCACTGCGTCCATTGCTGGTATGAATGAGTATGACAATAAGAGGCAATAGCTTGAACAGCCAATGGAGAGGCAGCAGTGTTAGAATGAGAGTGTCATTACTGGACATCTATTGCATATGTGTAAGCTTTAGTTGTTATGAGCAGACAGTGATAAGCTGAGATTATCAACTGATGCTCTCTAGCTATCATTGCTTCTGCATGTGCCGAATCACAGGAGAATTGTCAACAAACTGGCATGTAGGAAAACTTCTTAAATATTAAAGGGCCACTATTTGCACCATAAAATCAGTATCTCAATTAAGTTGCTTTGGTGCCAGGAGATCCCTAAACTAACTTCCCTGCTCCTCACTGCTGCCCAATATCCCAGAAATTAGTGAAATAAACGAAAAAACAAACAAACAAGTGAACTTGTGATGGCAACACCCTATAAGATAAATATTAGAACAACTGAAAATCTCAATTTATACATGTAGCGGAGCTGCAATATTAAATTCCAATATCTCAGCTGGTAAAAGAAGGTAATCCAAGGAAAGCGCTGAAAATGAAGGCAATATCCCAAATCCCCCCAGTAACCGGACGAAACACAGTTCTGGGAGTCAACTGACGGTTTTATTCACAAGCTCCAGTATTTATGTGGTTCCCCATGCAAGGAGTTTCCTTAATCACTTTACAGGGGTTATACAGTAGAGGACTACATGGGGAACTGAACATGCAGGACATTTCTCCCACCATGCACTGCTGTACGAGAGGCATACTCCCACAAGAATATCTTGTTAAGTGAATTATCCCTGCGTATAGCAGAACCGGCTTTTCACATAAAAATCTGTAACTTATATTTTATTCGTGCCATTGTACCGAATGACCATTCGGCAGATAGCTGGGGTCTGAGTGCACACTTTGTGAAAGTACCGCTCAGATCCCAGCACAACTAAATGAACGCCGCACGACATACATTTTACCACTCTTCAGAAAGTCTCTAAACTCTCTAAACTCTTCAGAAAGTCACGAATACATAGGTTGGAAGAAAGTACCGAAAGACCGGCGCTCCCAAATGGCCTGGAAGTCCAGCCGATTTTAGTTCCAGGCACTCGACGACCAAACACCGCTGGGCTAAAAGGGAATCCAAGATGGCCACCGCGGCGTGGTCGGTATCCGAACGACGGCCACCCGGGGAATCAATTAGCAGCCAATTGATACAATGTTGCAATCGGTTAATGGGAGCCACACGACCCCCTGTGTGTGGGCTCCCATTCGGTACTTTGTTCGTTTCACGAACAGTGTTAAAAGTCACTGTGCGTGAAACTACCATATGAATGCTAGCAGCTTTCGGGCCACTAGCATACGAATGCCCTCTATTACAGTTATAAGCGAATACATACACTAACAGAATTGGACCAGCTTTTCTAGGACAACCTTTAGACATATAACAGCATAATCTGAAGTGGCTAGGTTTGCCACAATACAAAATGCCAGTTTGGCTGCCAATAGCTGATGTACAATGCAGTCAGAGAATATTTTATATACAGACTTGAATTAAGTGGGAAAAAAGGAAAGATGAAGCAGTGTAAATGGATGAAATTACCACTGACATAAATCATGGGTTTAGCCTAAATATAAATTGTATAATATATGGTCCAAGGAGTGTCAGGGCCGCCGCGTAAAGTAGACCTGAAGTGGGCCAAGCAGCATAAGTAATTTATAGAATGATTAATTGGAGGGAATAGGTGGGGATCACATCACTGGAGTGCAATCAAACTATGACCCCACACTCTGTTTAAGAAGACTCTAACCCAGTGGCGTACGCACAACCCATGGGGCCGCAACACATGGCGGCGGGAACCTGGTCGCAGGGGTCGCAGGGCTGCGACCCCTGCGGTCGCGGTATGTACACCAGTGCATGCAGATACACATACACTTAAAGGACCACTACAGACACCCAGATCACATCAACTCAATGAAGTGGTCTGGGTGCCAGGTCCCTCTAGTTTTAACCCTGCAGCTGAAAACATAGCAGTTTCAGAGAAACTGCTATGTTTCACTGAGGGTTAATCCAGCCTCTAGTGGCTGTCTCATTGAAAATCACAGTGAGAAGACGCTGAACGTCCATAGGAAAGCATTGACTAATGCTTTCCTATGGGCGGTTTGAATGCGCGTGCGGCTCTTGCCGCGCATGCGCATTCGGAACTGAGAGGCGGATCGGGGCAGAGGGATCCCCAGCGTCAAGGGAGTCAAGCGCTGAAGAAAGGTAAGTGCTGAAGACACACACACACACTCTCACGAACAGACGCATACACACTAGCTAACAGACACACACACACTCTCACGAACAGAGACGCATACACACTAGCTAACAGACACACACATTTACTGACAGACACACACTCAGTGACATACATACACACTCACTGACAGACCGACACATACACACTCACTTACAAAACACACACTCACTAACAGACACCAAACAGACTCACTAACAGACGCACACAAACTAACACACACAGTAACACACTCACTGACACACACAAACTAACACACACACTGACACAACACTAACACTAACACACACACTCTAACACATACACACACTAACACATACACACACTAACACACATACACACACTCGAACACTAACACACACTAAAACACAAAGACACTCTAACACTTACACACTCTAACACATACACTAACACACACACACTCTAACACACACTCTAACACATACACACACTAACACACACTCTAACACATACACACACACACACGTTTTTTTTATTTTTAAATTGCATCCCCCAGCCTCCCTACCTTTGGGAGTGCTGAGGGGATTCCCTGGAGTCCAGTGGTGCTCCTGGGCGACCGGTCCTGCGGGCTATCTGGCGGGCGCGCGGGGGAGCACTCTCCCCTGAGTGCTTCCTCTTCAGCTCCCTTGAGCGCCGCGTACTGATGCCGGAGAATATTACGTCATCTTCCAGCTCCGGTATCAGTGCGGTGCACGCGAGGGAGCTGAAGAGGGAGCACACGGGGGACAGTGCTCCTTCGTGCGCCCGACAGCCTGCCCGCCGGGTGACACCAGGGCCAGCCTCCGGGGGCCCTGAGGTGGCCGGCTCCTGGGCCCCCCAGGAGAAGAGGCTGGCCACACTGGGTACATACCGGGTCGCAGGGCGGCCGGGCCCCCTGGTGGGCCAGGCCCGGTCGCAGCCGTGATCCCTGTGACCCCGGTATGTACGCCACTGCTCTGACCATGCCCCCAAATACAGGTCTTACATTTGACCATCCACTGTGGTTCTCTTGATAGACATCACCATGATGCCATCCATTGCATTTCTTTTTCCACTATATTGAAATGCAATAACTGCTTTTTCTGTAGAAGCATATAGTGGAGCCAACATCAAAGTAAAAACATTTAAATTCTATTAGAACTATTAAATTTGGCATCTTCGGCTGCCAACCCACTCCTACCCTTCTGCAAAAATGTAAAATAAATACATTTCATGAAACACAAATTATTTTGCATATTATATTAAAAAAATCAGAAAAATCACTGTAGATCCCAGCATATTTGACTTATTATGCTTTTCTTTATTTATATGTGTTTATTGTAAGAAGAAAGTACATTCAGTGTTAAACTAATTTAATATTTGAACAAAAGTTCCCAGCAGTCTATCTTCTCTGTGCCGCTTCGATTAATGAGGAAGCATTAACATGAGCGGTAATGGGTTACTGTGATTGGCTAAGAATATCACCTGACACCTTTCTGCCTCTCACGGCATCCATTGCTGATATGAATGAGTATGACAATAAGAAAATGTGGAATTCTTGCCATAGCCATACCTCTGTTAAAGTAAGGGCTGAGGGAGGCCATTGATCCTCATTAGGTGTTAAATTGCTTGAAAATGATAAGGAGAGTGACAGAATCCAGGCACTATAACCGATTTAATGAGATGTTATGGTTATATTGCAGACAGTGTCCCTTTCATAAAACTACCCAAGTAAGAGGGCTGAACAATCCTTAGCTTTATTACGAGAGTTCTAAATAGATGCCTTAAATGAACACACCATGCACCATAATCAATTTATCTCAAATTAAATGGTTATGGTGGCCGCAGTTGTCAGATTTTTACATTTCAATTTTGTCAGACATATTATGCCAGAAAATAAACTATTATCCCTCCGATTTTCAAAAAGGTTTAACCCTAAATACGTGTCCCCAGGCATTGGTCTGCCCCTACTGGTCCTGTACTCAGGCTAATGAATACAAATCCACACCATCAATCGACAAAGCTGCATAATGTCAACACGAAAAATGTTCTGATGTACAATATACAGACGATTTCTCTTTTCTATAGGAAAAATTTGACACAAATAGTGTCTAATAATTCAAAACAATCTCGGTTTTACTTGTACACACAGCTAATGTATTTTGTAGTGGATTTTCACTTGCATTATTCCATATCAGTTTAGAAAGGAAAATAATTTATAAAAAGACAAGACAGACAGAAAACTGATTCTAGAGATAGTGTTTTTATAATGTTTCGTTCTATTTCATTTTATTATAAAGAAGCATCCATTGGCTTTATATGCTGCCCTTGTGATGGGATCCTAGAAAAAGTAGACATGGGTGGATAGATGAATACATGTTTTATTGTTACTTTACCAATTTACATTAAACGTTTGATAATTACAGTAAATATGATTCATCAGTTATAAATGCCTGATACCTCTCATTTAAATATCTAAAGTGTTATGATATTGTACTATCCTCTTATTTTGTTTTGACTGTTGTTATCGATGTCTTGTTCACTGCTTAATTTTTGTTTATGAAAACGTCTCGAACAAATAAAGAACAAATAAAGATTGTCAAGAAAAGAAGTACGGATTTCTAATTTTAATTTTATTTTTCACACCCGCCCAAATACTTATTTGTTAAATATGAATCAAGTAATGCTTTCCTTAAAATGAGATGGAAGAAACATTCAGTTTACCCCTAACGTACTTCATGAAAATGAAGTATTTTTAGATGACTAGTGTGTCGCTTTAACCTTTTGTGACTACATTGTGTAAGTTTTGTTAAGTGGTATATTCACTAAACTGTACATTGTGTTGCGTTGGCAGACACCGTTTTAAAATATGGGCTAAAATTGCCAATTTGGGTAAATCTCAACTTATCAATATCTAGGAAATGAAATGGTGATTAATGATTTGGCTGACAAAATTATCTGTTTTCATTTTTTAAGTCCCAAATATAGAAGTGTTTGCGCAATAGAGTGATGTTGTCCTGGTTGTTTATCTCCTAGAGTGCAAAAAGTGCTTCAAGAACCTCATTATATTCTGTACTGCAAAATCGTTTATTTTACTGCGCAGGTTAGGTTTGTTGCTCATTAATGAACAATGCGATCTACAGTTTCAATCCATCGAGTCATTTAATAAAACAACATAAATCATAAATTGTCTTGTATTAAAATACTAGCCAAAGTTTGGAGAAATGAACAAAATTGACTCAAAGAGATTCAGGGAAGACCTTTTACAGGATTTTCCTAGTCTGAGAAGACTCTAAAGCTCGGTTGGGTTTATCATCAGAAATGCAGGAGATCCAGGTCTTTGTTGGCACATTTGTATAATCCCTGGAAATAATTTTCTGCCTTAACACCTTGATAAAAAAAATGACTGTGAATAAGCCTTTTTGAGAAGACTTGTATAGCATGTGTCTGATGATAAAATACAAGCACTTAGATGGGCATGAAGGCCTTAGGTTGAAGGGACAGAGATTTGGCGTGGAAGAACCAAAATCTCAGACCTTGTGTGCAAAGGCTAATTAATTAGTTCAAATGAGCATATACTGAAGGTGCACGTAAAGACACTCCTTAGCACTAAGAAATGGGTGTACGTAGTAGGCACCTATATCAAAATGCTTGGATTCCTTATGGTTCACGGACCTCTACTGGATGAAGGGTAACAGGTAGAGTCATTAAACAAAGTTCTGTGTATTTACTTGAACCAATATTTTACAGCTCAGGGAATGTAACCAGAGTTATGGGAGGAAACAGGTGGGAAGTATATCCACTAACCCACTTATTTTAATACCATATTTAATGGGGTCCCCATAACATTTTATATTTCATTATTTATTTTTGATGATCTCTTTTTAAGGGCTTTACCAAATTGTGTTATCAAAAAAAAAAAAAAAAAGGTAACAAATGATCAGATCCCTATGTCTGTAATAATCATTTTCTATTGCGTTAATAATAAGCCAGTTAAAAATAAGTTATTTAAATTCAAAAAAGGTTTAGAACTAAATTGATATAACACAGAGGAGAGTATAATATCGGTTGCCCAAGAGGTGAACGAGGTGTTGATGATATATGTCTTTATCTCGTAGGTGAGAAGTCATGTGGCAGACAGCTCTCCCTGACACCATTAAACTTTGCATTCCATCATTAACTAGTGAGAGGGGAGAGGAGAATTTTGTGATAAATGCTTGCCAAATTCCATTTTAATAAATAGCTCTTTATGCATCTAATGAAAATCACTTGTCATATCAACCTCTCCATAAGATGGATCCTCATACATTTATTACCTTTATTATACATATCGCTCTGTGTTATTCTATAAAGCATCGAGCAGGTGGTAATCTGAAGCAAACCTTTTTGTTTTTCAAGGAAAAGCTAAACAGGCATTTAACAAATGGTAAATAAAGTCACCATCTAGCAGTGCTGCATTCACCTATATATATTGTACTTAATAAAAAAATTATAGACTGATAATTATGTTTTGGTTCATTTGGCATTCATGTAAAACACTTTAAAGATATCTCCCTCCTTGCCTCTCTAAGGTTGTGCTAGCATCATGCACAAGAACTCAACGTCTTGTGGCCATGAAGGTTATGAAGAAAAGTTATGTATTGACCACATGGATTCTCACACAGCGGCGTACTCTTGAAATTGCTGCTGAATGCCCGTTTCTCTGTGATGGTCTTGCTGCCTTTCAGACCAGGTTATTAATATTTTTTGTTTATTTTTATAACCTGATCAAATCTTCAAATATGTCTCCGACCTCTATTGTCAGCTATGTTTGTTGCGTTAGTCTCTTTGCACCTATAACACTTTGTTTTGTTTTTTTCCCCAAACAGAAGCATGTATTCTTTGTCATAGATTATATGTATAAAGGCAGCCTGTTTTACTATTTGGAGAAAAGAGCATGTCTGGAAACTTACGAGGCAATGTGAGTAACGAGGTGAAAGAAATATTTTAACTGAAAGAAATACCCCAGGAAATACGATGAGGTTCAGCATCCTCTGTTATATATACATGTAACTACTCATACACTCTGATAATACCCTAATAATACCAATTATAGCTAATAATACTAAAGTCCTTGTGGTTTTATTCTCTAAAGTAATTGTGGAGAAAATTTACAAGGCAGTTTCAAAGTTCTAGATAAAATATCCAAATGGAAAAAAGTATATATTTTAGGAAAAACGTTGTAATTCCTTGGTCGGTTATTCTCAATTCACAATTTGGTTGATAAACGTAATATGTCCTCACATTTCCTTACTATGTAGGATAGATTCTAGTAGACTCATTTGTTTTCACGTTTTTATCAGGTTTTATTCAGCAGAAATAGTTTCAATTCTTGCACAGCTGTGGAATCGTCCATCGATGATTCCATAAGAGATTCTTTCTCTGTTCTCTCTCATGTTGATCTGCTTTGTCATGAACCTCTCACTGCAGTGCTGTTTTCTCTCTGGGTGTATATTAGCTGTATTCTCACTATCCCTAATCTGCTTTCTTGTCTCTCTGAATATTAGTAGGATTCCCTCTCTCCACTGTTCTGCCTCCTATCTCTCTGGCTGTTGCTGCCTTTCTCACTTTTTAACTCAATTTATCCATAAACTATCCATTAACGTTCTATTCACAAACAATCTCATCTGTTCTTTACTTTAGTGATCTAAAGCCCGATAACATTTTACTAGATGGGGATGGACATGCGAGGATAGCAGATTTTGGGTTAGTGAAAGAAAACATGTACAAGGGCAAAAATAACACAGGCAAGGGTAAATGTGGGGTAAACATAACAGAAACCAAAAGATTGTTATGTTTTGGTACTGCCTCTATTAGGATTTGTCTACTCTTTTTAATGAAGCACTAGGTTTTTAAATTTTGATTTAAAAAAGTGAATTTAATTAAAATGTCATGCTATGGCATTTTTGTAATAAGACATCTTTTCTTCTTCTGACCGCAGCCAAGTTTAAATTCCGGAAAACATCCACAGAAGAAGCCCCTCTCATTTCTGGCAGCCCTGAATAATATGAACTCTTCAGAATGGAAGCGGGACCTGTTTGGCCTGTCTATCATTAGCCCCAGATGGAGGTACTAGACTGCCGACTCTTCGCATTTACATCTTGCGATATGAGACCATCATATCCTGCTATCAAATATCTGTGCACTCTATAAACTAAGACAAACTGCCAACATATTTACTTTAACATTAAATTTGTAAATATTTTAGAATTAAAAACTTGTAAATATTTTAGAATTAAAATCTGTTCTTTTTGTATTCCTTACATTTCTACCCTAGTTCCTTTCAAGTATATATATACACTAGACTAGCCATCACTAGCGTTGCTGGTACTGTCAGATTGGCTGTCTGGCTGTCTAGAGAAATAGAAATCTAGCAGTGGCATTATTGGTGCAGCATGGCTTAGTACTCTATGCTAGAGGTGTACTTGGTTACTTGGAAAAACTGTATGTTGAGAGCACCACACCCTCCAGAATTGTAATTCTTTGGTGTGTGTCTCAGAAGCTCTCTTCACTTGTGTGTCTTCTGAACCTATTTGTGAGTCTCTCCTAATTCCCTCTTCTCTTGCGAACCTTGTCTGTCCCATAACCTTCCATTAGCACCTTGTGTCTCTTAAGCCCCCATATCCTTTTGTGTCTCTTGCCTTTCTTTACAGAGCTTTTGTCTGTTGGCCCTTTTTTGTATAATACCATATTTTGCCCCTCTTATTCCCCATCTTGTGTATCTTTTTGCATCTTTTGCAAATAATAATAATAATAATTATATGACATGGTAACAGAGTGGGGAATGTTATAAGATATGGTAACAGAGTGGGGGAATGTTATGTGACATGGTAACAGAGTGGGGAATGTTATGTGACATGGTAACAGAGTGGGGAATGTTATATGACATGGTAACAGAGTGGGGAATGTTATAAGATATGGTAACAGAGTGGGGGAATGTTATGTGACATGGTAACAGAGTGGGGAATGTTATGTGACATGGTAACAGAGTGGGGGAATGTTATGTGACAAGGTAACAGAGTGGAGGAATGTTATATGACATGGTAACAGAGTGGGGGAATGTTATGTGACAAGGTAACAGAGTGGAGGAATGTTATATGACATGGTAACAGAGTGGGGGAATGTTATGTGACAAGGTAACAGAGTGGGGAATGTTATGTGACATGGTAACAGAGTGGGGGAATGTTATGTGACAAGGTAACAGAGTGGAGGAATGTTATGTGACATGGTAACAGAGTGGGGGAATGTTATGTGACAAGGTAACAAAGTGGAGGAATGTTATATGACATGGTAACAGAGTGGGGGAATGTTATGTGACAAGGTAACAGAGTGGAGGAATGTTATGTGACATGGTAACAGAGTGGGGGAATGTTATATGACATGGTAACAGAGTGGGGGAATGTTATGTGACAAGGTAACAGAGTGGGGGAATGTTATATGACATGGTAACATAGTGTGTTAACATGGTAACAGAGTGGGGGAATGTTATGTGATGAACAGAGTGGTAATGTTATATGACATGGTAACAGAGTGGGGGAATGTTATGTGACAAGGTAACAGAGTGGGGGAATGTTATGTGACATGGTAACAGAGTGGGGAATGTTATATGACATGGTAACAGAGTGGGGGAATGTTATATGACATGGTAACAGAGTGGGGGAATGTTATGTGACAAGGTAACAGAGTGGGGGAATGTTATGTGACATGGTAACAGAGTGGGGAATGTTATATGACATGGTAACAGAGTGGGGAATGTTATATGACATGGTAACAGAGTGGGGGAATGTTATGTGACAAGGTAACAGAGTGGGGAATGTTATGGTAACCGAGTGGGGTGCATTAATAAGATTTTTGTAAATTGCAGCACTGGGTGTTGTTTGAGATGGAGGTGCTCCCAGCAGTCCTTTGCTCCTGGGAAGCACCAGGATGGCCAGGAGCCAATCTGAGGCAGGAATTGTGAAGGGGGCGGAAACCTTAAGGTAGCTCTTCCCCTGCAACTGGCAGGCTAGCACTGAGGGTGTAGTAGCCTATCTGTGTATGTGAAAAGCAGAAGCATGTATCTGCATCCCTGCACCTATCCCTCTGCTGCTACAGGAACATGGGAGAGAGAGGCAGCAGGCAGAGGAAGATCCACTGATAATAGCAAATATGGCAAGTACTGACATTTTATGGCAAGACAGGAGGCTTCATATTTGCTTATCTTTCTTTACTGTAACTCCCAGCAGCAAAGAAATAGTTAACAATAGTGTAAAAACAATTCAACCAATCAGAGTGTATAACCGTATTATATGATGTCATCAAACTCCTCCCAAGTCCTCTTTCTTTGCTGCTTGCCTCCCAGGTGAGTCTGCTCCAATTATATTGCCTTAGGGTTTTTGCCTTTAATGCAATATTTGAACTAATTTTCTCTTTAATTTGTTAAATTTTATAGCACCCATATCTCTATTATAATTTTTAAATAATTTTCTGTGGTAATGTTTTGTTTATCAAACATTCATTTTCACTAGTTTCTCACACAATTTATTATCAGTACACATATAATTATACCTAACATGTTGGTTTATTTACATCTCTGAACAGTTTTTAAACTTTATCTCCATTGTTTCCGTTTAAAAATCGTCGGGGTTTGCCTCCACGATTTTATTATATTTGTGGCCGCGGTTTCCTCTCGATTCTGATTCCCAATTCCCAGGAGTCTGCGGCCCAATTTCGCGCCCTTTCTCAGATCCCGCCTTCTCGCACCTGCAATTACCTGACGCGCTTCCTCCCGTTTTGCGGCAGCCATCTTAAACCGCGGTTTACCTTGTTTTTTATGCGCGATCGCTTCACCTCACGTCAGATCCGGTAAGTATCTTATTTACTTGTTGCTCATAGCACCCTTAAAGTGCTACCACCTTTTCCGAAATTATTCTTTGTACCTATTTGTTTTTCTTGACAGGAAAATACCTGCTGTATCTTATCATTATTAAATAAAGGACAGCCTTGTGAGTGACCCCCACCTTTTTCTGTGTCACTTGATTCATTGAATGTTGTTGTGGGTGACCCCCACATTTTATTCACTTTCTAATCAATTTATGACAGGTGTCTCAACACCATTACTAGAAGTGAGTGACCCTCACCTTTGCAATAATACAATATATTATTTAAAGTGACCCCACACTTTATTAAATATTTTACAGACATACTCATAAAAGTCTGACTACTGAGTGGTGAACCCCAGTTCTTATTGTTACAGTGGTACAATCCACTTATATAATTTAGTGGTCTACCCCACTATATATTGTGTGCCGCCCTTATATATCAAACTACGCTTATTTGGGTGACCCCTTACTTAGAAATTTTACTAAGCACAATTGGGTGAACCCCATTTAACATTCTTGTCTTACGACTATTTTTCAGAATCACTAATACAGTCCTAACTAAAATGTCTGACAATACTGAGCCCGCAATCTCTCAGGAACTTAAAGCTTGGCTGGTTTCAACCATTACTGAATCCATCCCCAAGGCGTTAGCAGCCTTCCATGAAAAGACTCCTGGCGAAGTCAATCCCACCGCACATTTACTCTCTGACTCAGAGGACTCTCAGCCCTCGGATCAGGAGGTCACACATCCTTGGAAAGGTAATAGTGTGTCTGCGGGCAAGGGCAAGGCTCCTGCCAAGTCCCATAAATTAACTGTCACTCACCCCGCCTAAACTATATTCGACCCCTTGGAGGGTTCCACTTCTCAAATGGGTGATGGGGTTGAGGATTACTACCTTGGCTATTCTGATGAGGACCCCTCGGCGAATGCGCTAGGGGATACCCCATCGGAATTTGTCAAGGAGACATTCATTACCAAAAAGGATACAGATGCAAACATCTCTATGCCCAAGAGACCCGACTCAGACACCCTTCTGGATGCCTCGGGTGTCCCTTTTTTCGACCCTAGGGTCATTAGACATCCACGTTCGGCCGAATGGGCCCCACCTGACCAAATCTCTAATTTTTGCAAGATGTGGCTGCGTAAGCCCCTTGGAAAAGAAATGAGGGCTAAACTCAGAGCCGAATGCTCTCGGCCAACTATACCATGTAAAGTGGCTCTCATATTGAGCAGGGTCTTAAGACAGCCCAGGACAAGCTCCTGGATATCGCTGGTCCCATCATCCAAATTTTCATACGAGCTGACAAAGCTATAGCTAGTGGGTGTTTGACCCTCACACAGTCCGAGAATGAGCCCAAAGAGCCCTATGTTTCCTGGGCAATGCAAATGTGGCTATATCCACTGAGAGACGTCGGGCGGCACTATATAAGCTCAATGCTAAATTAGCAGACTTAAGCTCCCGAGAACTGGGACCAGAAGCCAATGGCTTTTTATTTGGGGACTCTTTCATGAGAGATCTGTCCAAACGTGCAGCGGTATTTACTACCTTAAACAAGGCCCAATCCTCCCTATGCATGGTATTTCGCTCCCAGTCAGGTCGTTTTTCTGGGAGAGCTGGACGTTATAGAGGCCGAATGAACAGCAGAGCTGCCTTCACAGGCTACAGGCCTCGTCCCTCAGAAAACTACTGGAACTCGGGACCCCGTCGACCCTACCACAGGCAGTTATTCAACAATAGAGGATCCATCTGGGGACGTGGATCTGCCTCCTTACGCGGACGCACTGCTCCAGGTAATAAACCTTCTATTTTTCAATGTACCTATAGAAGGTCGACTAACCCATTTTTTCCAACAGTGGGAACTGATTTCACAGGATCTATGGATCCTACACACAGTCAAGAGGTTCAAAATAGATTTCCTTTACACTCCCATCCAGAACACACCACCTACACCATTTCGGATGTCTGCAACAGACAACCTGACATTACACACAGAATTGAACAAACTGGTGGAAAAAGGGGCGATAGAAAGATCACCCTTCCCACATACCTTTCTAAGCAATATTTTTCTGGTCCACAAAAAATCCGGAGACCTGCGTCCAATAATCAATTTGAAAGACCTGTATCACTATGTCAGATATCGTCATTTCAAAATGGAGGGCATCCATCTCCTCAGGGACCTCCTTTGCGTGGGAGACTGGTTATCCAGATTCGATCTCAAGGACGCATATCTCACTGTCCCTGTTGCCCGCAACCATCAGGCTTTTCTTCAATTCCTCTGGCAAGAGGAAATTTGGCAGTTCACATGCCTCCCGTTCGGTCTTTGTTCCGCACCATGGTGTTTCACAAAGCTGATGAAACCAGTGATGGCCCTACTCCTATCACAGGGGATTTGTTCCATTGTATATTTGGACGACATCCTGATAATGGCTCAAGATCCAGACCTTTTACGACAACACGCGGACATGACGACGGCCTTATTACTAATCAACTTTAAAAAATCAGACCTGGAACCTTCTCAGAAAGTTCAGTTTCTCGGATTCCTAAAAGACTCCATACAGGCGATTTTACAACTACCTTCTACAAAGGTCAAGGCTATAAAGAAAGACATTCGCAAATTGCTATCAGCCCACCAGATTCGCCTATGCGATCTGGCTCATACCATAGGCCTACTGTCTGCCTCTAACCGAGCCATTTATCCGGGACCCCTACATTACAGAGCCATGCAACGGCTCAAGACTTACTATCTAAACCGGTCCACCTTCTACGACCAACTGATCTACCTAACAGACGAAGTCCGTATAGAACTTCATTGGTGGCTTCACAACATGGAAACCTGGAATGGCAAAGCCATTTTTGGATCACAACCAGACTTCATTCTGGAATCCGATGCCAGTCTCTTGGGGTGGGGCGCTACGTGAGCCGAAATGTCCACCTCCGAACAAGCACTGCACATCAATTGCCTAGAATTGATTGCAGGATCTTTTGCGATACGCAGTTTCGCAAAAGATTGTTTCAATTGTTCACTAGTACTGCGCATGGACAACGTCTCTGCGGTGCGTTATGTGAATCGGTTAGGAGTTTCCCGATCCAAATTACTGTCCGACCTTACCAAGGAACTCTACCAATTCTGCCTAGAGCGGAATTTATCCATCAGAGCAGAATATCTTCCGGGCATGGACAACCTAGTCGCAGATTGGTTCTCTCATCATTGGAGGGACGTAAGCGACTGGCAATTGGATCCCTGCTTGTTCTATCAAATTCATTGTCTTCGCGGGCCCCTCACACTGGACCTGATCGCGTCTCGGCTGAATCACCAGACGAAGGCCTTTTTCAGCTGGCTCCCAGATCCTCGATGCCTCCCTACACCCTTGGCCGGAGACAGGAGCTTATGCGTTCCCACCTTTCTCCATGATCCAGCGTACCCTTTACCGGGTCAAAGCCCTAGAAGTGATGATAGTTATTTTCACTCGGCTATGGAGAGCCCAGACTTGGTTTCCAACCCTGCTAGAACTGTCTGTGAATTGTCCAATTCTACTACCTCGATCGCCAGACATCCTCAAGAATCCAGCAGGGCGCTGTCACCCACTCGCCCTTCAAGGGCATCTCTAGCTTGTAGCTTGGACCGTTTCAGGGGATCCTGGAATGTCTCAGGACTTTCGGAGACAGCTCAGGCCCTCCTATGGGACTCCTGGGCCCCAGGCACTAGACGTGCTTACCTCGCTGCATGGCGGACATGGGTCAGCTCGTGTTTGGAAAGAGATACCGATCACTTTTCAGCACCTCTGACGATCATCCTAAATTTTCTGTCTACTCTCTTTGATCAATGCAAGTCCTATAGATCAATTAATGTTTTTAGATCTGCTATTTCTGCGGCCCACAATCCTATTGACAATGCATCAATAGGAAAACACCCTTCAGTTTGTAGACTTTTACGAGGGATCAGGCTAGCCAGACCCCCTCTTCAAGATATTCCAATTTCTGGGACGTCACTCAGGTTTGTTCCCTTTTAGACTCCTGGCCCTCTAATGAGAATTTGACGTTACGTCAACTCTCTGCCAAACTGGCCTTACTCTGGTATGTCTGGTATCCTTCTGTAGGGTCTCCGACATTCGAGCATTTGATTTCCACGCTGTAGTTTTTTTCGCCTGAGGGTGTTAAATTTCACATCACCAGGCGAACGAAGAGTAATTCCTCCTCTGTATTCTACCCTTACTTTCCGAATAGACAGTCGCTTTGCGTGGCGCTCTGTGTAAGGCACTATATAGATGCCACAACCACTCTGCGTTCCTCTACAGGACCCCTTCTCGTTTCCTATGTCAGACCATACAAACCGGTGTCCGCTCCCACCGTCGCGCGGTGGATCAGATGGATACTAGCCCAAGCAGGTATTGACTCCTCTTTTGGAACGCACTCAGTCAGAGGAGCAGCCGCATCCTCAGCCTCTCGTGCGGGTAGTTCCCTCTCAGACATTTTGTCGTCTGCAGATTGGACCAGGGAGTTCACCTTTCGTACATTCTATTTCAAACCTATGCCACATGCTGCATCTTCTCTCATATAAGAGCGTTAAAACAGCAAATATGAAGCCCCCTGTCTTGCCATAAAATTAGGGATTATTCTAGCCCTAGTGACTGAATAATCTAAATATTCGCCTCCTGTCGTTAATAAAATTTAGATTATTCAGTCACTAGGGCTAGAATAATCCCTAATTATGCCTCTCACAGCCCATGTCCAAATGTCTGACACCCATCTTTCATATAACTTTACCATAAAATCAGCTCACAAATACAAGCTATATGTACTGTGTGTGTATGTGGTGTGTGCTGGCTTTATGTGATGTGATATGTGGTGGGTGCTGGCTGCATGGCTTAGTAAAGGAAGGGATCTATGATCCCAGGTGGTCTATAGGAGGTCATACTCCCTGGTGGTCCAGCAAGGGTTAACTCTGGATGTTGGTCTAGCAGGGTTCTAGGGGTATATATATATATATATATATATATATATATATATATGTGTGTGTGTATCTATTTTAAATGAATATATATATAAATATATATATATATATATATATATATATATAAGTTCTCATGTGCCCCCCTCACACAATACAGTCTTGTACCAGTCACACACTGCACCCCTCACACATACTGCATCCTTCTCACACATCCACACACACACACTGCAGCCTTCTCACACATCCACACACACACACACACACACACACACACTGCACCCCTCACATGCACTCACTGTATTCCTCACACACACTGCACCCCTAAAGCACACACATTGCACCCCTCACACACACTATACCCCTAAAGCACACATATTGCACTCCTCACACACTGCACCCCTCACACACACACTGTCCCCTCATTTACAGTGCACCTCACACACACTGCACCCTCACACACACATACACACACACAATGCACCCCTCACACAGTACACCCCTCATTCAAACACATTGAACCCCTAAATAAACTCATAATGATGTCCATAATAACTAATAACAGAAATTGTGATGTACGAACAGTTGAAATAGCTGTGTAATTTGTGTTTTGTATTGCATGTTTTGTTCTAAATTCTTTTTCATGACTCTGTGGAACAATAAACATATGTACAATGGAAAAGTCTTCATCTATTTAAATCATAGTCACTGATCAATGACTATGAGTCTGAGATAGAACTGTGTACTGACGTGTATTTCGCTGTTAATGATATATGCCTTTATCTCATAGGTGAGGAGTCATGTGACAGACATTAAACTTTGCGTTCCATCATGAACTAGTGAGTGGTGGTCTGTCACTGAAAGCATCAGACTTTGAGTTCAACCGTGAACTGGGGAGAGGAGGCTTTGGGAAGGTGAGCCATGTGTTGCCCCTTTAGTCGAGGGAGAGAAGGATGAGATACTTTGAAAACGTGATACAATAAGTGTAGTTAACATGCTCCTTGCCTTTAAAACCCCAAAAATATATTACAGAGGAGACCTATTTATCTACAAAACTTGTAAGATTAATGTTTATAAATGCACAAATTCTTTTCTTGCTTTAAAATCTATTGCAGGATGGATATTTCAATGAATTGTGAATCCATGTTCTTTGCACTTTATTCAGGGTTATTCCCTAAACAAGAAATTTTCAGGAATTGAGAAATTAAACATATTTTGGCTAATTTCCCCCAAAATTTTAGTTTTGTGGTAAACACTTGCCAATTACCAGTTTATTAACCCCTTAAGGACACACAACATGTGTGACATGTCATGATTCCCTTTTATTCCAGAAGTTAGGTCCTTAAGGGGTTAAATAGCTCTGTATACATCTATGAAATTAACTTGTGATATCAGCGTCTCAGTAACTTGGGTCCTCATACATTTATTGTTATATGTGTTATTCTATAAAGCATTGCAAAGATGGTAATCTGTCGCAAAAAATGTTTTTACAGGAAAGTCAAACAGGCATTTAACAAATGGTAAATAAAGTCACTAACAGTGCTGCATTCACCTATTTATTTTGTACTAGATAAAAAAAAATGATAGCTTGATATTTATTACTTGGTCCATTTGTAGACACTCTCAGGTCATGCTAGCATCATGCACAAGAACTCAACATCTTGTGGCCATGAAGGTTATGAAGAAAAGTTCTGTATTGAACACATGGATTCTCACAGAGCGGCGCACTCTTGAAATTGCTGCAGAATGCCCATTCCTCTGTGATGGTCTTGCTGCCTTTCAGACCCAGGTAATTAATATTTTTTGTTTATTTTTATAACCTGATCAAATCCTCACATATGTCTCCCACTATATTGTCAGCCATGTTTATACATCATCTAGTTGCAGTCCTTGTTGCAGTAATCTCTTTGTACCTATAATACTTAATTTTCCCTAACAGAAGCAAACAGTGTTTTCCCTAAACAGAAGCATGTATTCTTTGTCATGGATTATATACACGAAGGCAGCCTGTATCGCTATTTGGAGAAGAGAGCATGTCTGGAAACTTCTGAGGCACTGTGAGTAACGGGGCAAAAGAAAGATTTGAGGTGGGAGAAATATCATAAGAAATATGATGGGATTTAGTATCCTCTGTTATATCTAATTTAAATACTCCTACTCTCTGATAATGCCCCAACAATACTTATTATAACTAATAATTCTAGACCCGTGTCTTTGCTCTCTAAATAAATTGTGCAGAATTGACAAGGATAAAATGGAAAAAAAGTTTAGGAAAAAAGTTGTAATCCCATCGTTGTAATCCCATTCTTCTCAATTCACAAAAAATTGTAATCCCATTCTTCTCAATTCACAATCTGGTGAAAAAACATCATAGGTCCTCACTTTTCATTACTATTTAGGATAGATTCTAGTAAACCAGTAAATTTTTTTATCAGGTTTTTTTCAACAGAAATAGTTTGCGGCCTTCAATTCCTACATAGCCGTGAAATCGTCCATCGGTGAGTCCATGAGAGATTCCTTCTCTATTGCTCTGCTCTGTCATTCTTTCTGAGCTATGAGCCTCTCCATGCACTGCTGTCTTCTCTTTCTCTATCTGTGTATTAGCTGTATTCTCCTAATTTGCCTATTTTCTCTCTGTGTATATTAGTAGTATTCCCTCTGTCTGTTGCTCTGCCTCCTATCTCTTTGGCTGTTGCTGCCCTTCTCATTTTTTAACCCAGTCAATTTCTTCCCTCTACATATTGCTCTGTCCTATTTTAAATCCCAGAATTTTTCCACCCACTTTGCCACACTATCCATTAATGTTCTATACACAAACAATCTCATCTATTCTTCACTTTAGTGACCTAAAGCCCGATAACATATTGCTAGACGGGGATGGACATGCAAAGATAGCAGATTTTGGGTTAGTGGAAGAAAATATGTACAAGGGCAAAAAAACACAGGCAAGGCCAGGACTACTTTTTACATGGCCCCTGAGGTAGGCTAATGTCTAATTATATGTTTATTTCTTTTATTTTAATGTGCTATGCAAAGTTTCTGTTACAGCTTTTTTTTTTTTACTTCAGTTTCTTTTAATGATTTATATCCTGAAATTTCAAAGAATAAAACTGAAAAAACAATGAATAAGAACATCTTTCATTAAAATTAAATATTGCATACCTCTATTAAATAGGCAACGTACAACAAAGTACAATAAGTGTAACCCTGTGTCTGACATAAATACACCTTTCTTTTACAGTTTCTAGCAGATAAAGAATATGATGCTGCAGTGGACTGGTGGTCGCTTGGCATTATTCTTTGTGAAATGCTGTGTGGAGACCACTCTTATGATAGATTGCTATCTTCAGACCAACTTCGGTATTCTGTCATCATGAGGAAGCCTCCGTACCCAGACTGGGTCGCCACCAATTCCAAAGGCATTGTGTCTAAGGTGAGTATCTATTGTCACTTATCATGTTGAAGGGACTGTTATACAGAGAGGACAGGTGAACGTAGTGCCACAGTGAGACATCAGGGAGCAACACTTAAGGATGTTAATAGGGAAGTTAATATAAATGGATGCAGTTATGGGTCTGATTGCTCAAGGCTTTATGGTAGAGGTGAATCCCTCTTCAAACAAAACACATTTGACAGTAAAACTGCTAAAGTGAACAGAATTTGAAAATAGGATATTGAGATTTTATAATGCATGTTTAAGTGGCCCAAATGGTGATGTCAATTAATTTAAAAAAAAATTCAGCTCCTAATTAAAAACCCTAAATTCCATCTTGGGGTATATGGTGACATTAGACGCCACCCATTTTATGGAGATCTGTGTTGGGAAGAACTGGAGGCTAAGAAAATTCCACTTCCATATAAGTCAATGGTGGTAGGTAAATTCATGTTATGATAGCCCACACTAATCCCAGACTTTTTATTCAACAACTTGCAGTAGCACTCATTTTATCCCCTTAAATGTCAAATCATTTTATTCCATCATTAGAAAGGCATTTATGATAGAAAAAGAAGCAAGATTTATAAAAAAAACAAACAATTAATTATACTCAGTGTTAAATAATCAACAATCAGGTGACAAATGGCTATGTGTGATTGTTTACCTCGAAGATTAACAAAAACATAGAGTTCTAGAGAAAAACATACTTATAAAACTGCCACTTACAATCGTCGAAATTTACAAACGACAATTATGCATAGATCTAAATGTGGAGTAAACATCACGGAAACCAACTTATTGAGCGATATAGCACATTATATATTTTTTAATGAAAGGTAATGCAAAACAAGAAAGGAATAAGGTTAAAAAGTTAAGAACAGGGTTCTACAATCACCTATGTTAGTCACTTATTCACATAAAATCAAACCATACAGTATAAAAAATGTGGGTGGTGAGAGCACACAGATAAAAATAGCAATTACACATTACCCTTATTGCACGCTTCAGTATATAAACACTTAAATCACTCCTATAAATTTAAAAACAAGGAGAAAAGTAGCATAGGGTAATAACGTAGCAACCTGATGTAACTTTGAATGATAATTGGTTTCACTCACATGGTCATGAGCCACTTATTGGAAGCTGGCTCAGACTAGAAGTTTATCAGGTAAATGCACGTGGTGGTCAAACTCTTAGCTGTATCACCTGTGTGGTCTTCAGGTTACTGTTGCTTAAAATACTCCAGGATGTAGGAAGTATTGCAAAACAATTTATTGGACACACTACAGGTAGCTGGATAAAAACACTTAAAATGAAATCTTATCTCTAAAAAGTCCACTTGTGCATGGATTAAACCTAACGCGTTTCGGCAAAGCCTTTTTCAAAAGTCCATTCTTCACCTTCTGCTTTAATTGTTTAAATAACTCCGGAATTGGTGCCCTTTTCGTCCGTCGAGATGTCATCATATTCTCCTTCCGGTTTCCGTCTGACTGCATCCTTAATTCCGGCCCAACCACTTCCGTCTTCTTCTCATGACTTCACGACGTTGTCTACGTCCTAACGTTGTGACGTACATTTTAGAGGCCCGGAAGATCTTTCAGTCTCAAAGCCCCTGCCCTCCTCAAATATGTATTCCCAAACGTCCAGACCGGGCAAAGGGCACAATTAATGTACATAGGCATTACACATGTGAAAAGCTAAACTATACAATTCAAAGCTAGCTAAATCCTAATGCAGGGCATATCTAAATAATATTAGCCCATAAAACATATTACACTTCCTAAAATAAAAAGAGAACATAAACTCATATCATAAACATAAAACATGAATGTATATTGCGGAGAAAAAAGAAGAAAAAAACATCTGTTAAAAACTTAATTACACTCGTAAATAAAACATTTAGCATTACATATGTATATAAAGAGGAAAAAGGGGACCTTGAAATCAACCCTTCATTAAGTTTTTAATTTAAATATCAAGTCTGAAAAAGAAAAATATATTGGGTTGAACAATATTTAGCAAAAAATATATATATCTAATATATGTGGTAGAGAGGTAGGTAGAAAATGATATAAATAAAAGTGGTTGAAAATTCATATATTTAAAACTTTAATAAAAAAAAAAAAAATACATATAAAATCCATGTATAAAATCCCCTACATTTTAATTGAAGGGAAGTAAAATAGAGAGTAAAATCATATTATAAACCTTATATAAATTATAAATATAAATTATATGAAGTATAAATATGGGGTGCTTTCAAAATCCACATTTAGGCCTTGTGGCATTAGAGTATCCATATTGAAAATCCACTTCGTTTCCGTCCTATTTAATAAATTCTCTTTATCTTGCCCTCTCCAATGTATTTTTATTTTGTCTATTCCTACAAATTCTAAGTCTTTAGGATCACTGAAGGTGTTTCATAAAATGTTTGGTAATGCCTTCTAAGAATAGGGAACCAGTATTATTATTATCTTTTTTTGGCATTTATGTAGCACTAATTTATTCAGTAGTGCTTAACAATATTTAATCATCTTTTTAATGAAGCACTATGTTTGAACGTTTTGATTAAAAAACGTAAATTAAAATATTACATCATGCTATGGCATTTCTGCAATAAGAGATATTTTCTTCTTCTGACCACAGCCATCTCTGAGTTTCAGACCACATGCACAGAAGAAGCCCCTCTCATTTCTGGAGGCCCTGTATAGTATGTACTCTTCAGGATGGAAATGGGACCTTTTTGGCCTGTCGTTCACCAGCCGTAGATGGAGGTACTAGACTGACGGTTTTTCATGTGTACATCTTGCATTGTCTAGCTCTTCTCTGTGAGGAATCTAGTTGGATGCAAACCACTGGTTCAACTCAACACATTCTTCTGCTTTACACTACCAGCCAGCGAAGCATCACCCTGTGCTGTATACCACCAAGATGCACAGTATATTCCGTGACTTCCCATCAGCCAACCTAACATCTTCAGCTGCAGAATACCATTAAACAGACCATCACATGTTGCTGTATTCCATCAAATATCTGAACAAAACAACATATATACTTGAATATTAAACTTGTAAATATTTTGAAAAAATTTAATCTGCTCTTTTTTGTATTCATTACATTTTGATCTTAGTTCCTATCTAGGATAATATATAACATACAAGATCCAGCGTACTTACTCATTCACTAAACAGCAACTTCAAACCACTCAAATTAACAGTTTTTAAAAAAAAACACCTTAACTAGGCAAAATGATGAGGGATTAGTTACAGTATATGATCATATATTGCATAAGCCTGCCACCACACCAATGTACCCCATTTATGGCAGGTAAAATAAATAATAATAAACATACATAAATATTTATTTATCCACAGGCCTTGGCTGGCCATAGATAAACCAGGAATTCGCCCAGTTAACCGTGATGATCAGGAGATGAGGGCCATCTTTGAAGACCCAAAATCTCCACAAGTAGTTCATTATCATTTATTACCATCTCTTGCACTGACAAATAGGCTATCTATAGAGAGAGAAGTACCTCATCAGTGTAACATAGCTGAGTATTCTATATCAGAGGTGTACTTGGCACCTGGGGTGAAACTGTATTTTGACACCCCCCCTTCCAACCTCCTGAATTCTTACTGTTTTGTGCGTTGCTCTGAAGCTTTCTTCTCACATGTGTCTCTTGATCCTTCTTGTGTGTCTCTCCTAATTCCCTCTTATTCTCTTGCATATCTGATAACCCCCTTGTTTGTCTCTTAACCTGCCTTAACCACCTTGTGTCTCTCAACCCTATATCCCTTTGTGTATCTTAAACTCCTCTAACTCCTTTTGTGTTGTTTTCCCCTTTTTGTATCTTACCATATGTTGTCCCTATTATTCCCCCTCTTGTGTCTCTTTTCCCTCTGTTGTGGTCTCTTCCTAGCTCATTTTGCTCTCCTCTCTTGTCAACTACATGCTGGGAGGAAGTGCTCTGACATCACATCCTCCCAGCCCTGCCACAGAGTTAAACTGTCAGCATTGCTCTCAAGTTATGGGCCCACTGAACAGGATATCTTTAATGTGATCTAATTAGAGATATATTTTTATCTCCCCAGCAGGACCCTTGGGAGTACCCAGCTTAAGTAGGCCCCCTTGCAATGACTGTACTCTCCTGATAGGAAACCCGTAAGCAGCGACACCACTTAGTGAATCAAAATGTGTGCATTTAAATGAATATTAAAGCCACCTGATATTTTATCATGGTTGTTTATTTCTGCCCTGAGATAATGTTAAATACCCTGCCTGATCTTAATGCCATGCCAGTCCACTGAAGATCACTGATCCACAGATGAGTACATGCAACCCAGCACCTACATAGCATTTGATTGACAGCCTTGTAGACAGATAGTGAAATCAGATATTGTTCTCTAAGCTGAGAATTTTGCCAGACACAAAAACCTTGTATTGCTGTGTTTGTTATTGCCAATCATGTGTTAACCATCATAGTCACTAAAACCATTGCATTTCATATATTTAAAAAAGTTTCATCAGTTTAACCCTAAATTAGGGATCCCGGCACCCACAGCCTCGACCCTGCCGGAGGTATGGCTAAGAGATTACAAACTTTCTTTAAGCCATACCAATTATTACCAGTAATGGGCACTGTGATAGGCTGAACGTGTCAGCTGCCACTCTCAGCCAATCACTGCTGCTTATTGCTGCTTCCTCATCAGCTCAATGTTAGGATAGGTAACCCAACTTACAGAATAAGGTCACAAAAGTACAGGAAAAAGGGTAGATGGCAATACGTTTTACCAGACCTTAGAGCGGCCGGGCTTAACATGCAAATATCAAGAGATAAAAATATCTAATAACAATTTCAATAGAGATACACTAAATTAATAAGCAAGCCAAACTCAGGCATACAGATCAATAACAAAGAATCAGTGTATAGAAAAAATACGCACTCTCGGACAACCAAACTGGAAACGACGACAGGACACTGAACAGAAATAAAGCTCAAGTATTTATAGGCCTGGGGCATTTCCCTGATAGCCATGCCCCAAAAACATGAGAGGGTGTCGGAAATTATGTGATGACATCATAAAAGGAAATGGCTACACTGTCTGGAGTCAGAAACCCTGGTAAAGGAGTCTGAGGGTGTGGAACTAATGTGTTGTCTACTTGGGCAGGTAGGGGCACCAGGTGAGTTCTATAACACAAAAGTATCCTCACACACAAGCAGCTCCGATGGTTTGAGCTGCTGGGGACTCTCTTTTAGTATCAAACCATTAAAAATGCTGAATGGAAAAACCGCACCAGGGGACTCCAGACATTATAATCCTTTCAATGAAATGAAGCAATTACAGTGCAAACAGTGTCCCTTTAATGATAGCAATTAACATGGGTATTTACAAGTGAAGTCAATTTTTGGTAATATTTACAAAAGAAATTTAATTCCAAAAATATGTGTACTTCTGTGAAATATAATTAGGACTCATCTTGACATGGCAAGTGAGCTTACACTTTAATGGCCATTGGAGTGATACTAAAAAAACACCAGTTATTTAAATGTGCATAGGGATTTGGAATAGTGCACAAGTAACTTTTTTTCTTTGTTTTTTTTATTAAATAATTAATGGACAAAGAGATGGCTATGTATGATAAATGAAAAAGAAACAAAATGGGAATCTAAAAAAGAAAAGCAGGATTTAGGATTGACTGTAAAAGTACACTACAATGTTAAGCACAAACCACAAACTGAAATATAATAGTCATTAAGCTTGATTCAGTTTTATTACATCTAAATCTTATCTGAGCTTCTTGAAATTCATGTGTTTATTTGCCACAACTATGTAACAGTCTAAAGGGTATGTATTGTTAGTAATCGGTTTATAGTTAGTATTCGCTGCAGATCTTTTACAGCTAGTCATGTAACTCGGCACTTATAATAATCTTTAAAGTGCTAAACGGTCCATGTTTAAAATAGTTCTTTATAAAAGACAGCCCTGGTTGTTGTGATGATAACAGACCATGATGTTACTGGGAAAAAAAACGAACCAATGTAGGTGAGCAGCAATCCATCCATCTCTAAACCTTAGGTCCACTTCCACAAACCAACTGAAACAAAGCCACCTCATTTCTACTAAGCACTACCCACCCCGTAACCTCATCCCGCCCACCCTGATTCAACCCTCATTCCACCCACCCTCTTTTAATCCTCATTCCACCCACCCTGGTTCAACTTTAATTCCGCCCACCCTGGTTCAACCCTCATTCTGCCCACCCTGGTTCCATCCTCATTCCACCCAATCCTCATTACGCCCATCCTGGCTCACGTCTCATTCCACCCACCCTGGTTCAACTCTCATTACGCCCACCCTGGTTCAACCCTCATTCTGCCCACCCTGGTGGTTCAATCCTCATTCCGCCCACCCTGGTGGTTCAATCCTCATTCCTACCACCCTGGTTCAACCCTCGTTCCGCCCACCCTGGTTCAACCCTTGTACCACCCACCCTAGTTCAACTCTTATTCCTCCCAATCTGGCTACTTTTAACTATCTAGCATGTTCTTCCATGTTTTGCATCACAGTCAATCAACGCCTCATTCCCTTCACACATTACCAGCTACTGCAATTATACAATTAAGTCTACCATCACCTTCAAATTCCTCTTGAACCTCTTGTCTCATCTTCCCGTGTTACTTTAGAGTGTAAGCTCATGGACTATCTAGCAAAGTACTCTGTATAAAATATCTTCAGAGACTAGATCTCTGCTCACGGACGTAGCCCTCTGTACCTTTTGTATTGGGCTGTATTTTACCCAATTTTTCCCAATTGTACAGTGTTGCATAATATGTTGGTGCTTTATAAACGCCAGTAATAAATATATAAGTACCAGTGTCCTTTTTTTCCAATGACAATATGGGCCCATATCTGAAAAGCGTTTTTTTCTCTTTAGGGTGTTCAGGTTTAATTTGCAGAAGTGGTGGAAAAGATAATTAGCAATTCAGTTCTCCTTCTCCTGGAGTTCTATTTTCATTTATCAGAAGCTACTGAAAAGTAGAAAATTGCAATGTAATTAAATTTTCTAGCAATTATAGGAGTATTAGCAAATTTGCAGTTTCTAAATAATGTGTGTGTAAAATAACCAATAAAATTGGTATTTCGTAATACCTTTTTTACTGGAATAAGAATTTTGGAATGACAGGCTTTTGAGAGATACTCACTTTCTCAAGTTTAAAGCATTTCTGAGCAATAAAATACATAGAAGTTAAAGTTGAGTTGTGATACTGATATTAAAGCGACATGAGAGTGAAGAAAATATACACATCTCATTTAGGGTACATCTATCTATCTATCTATCTATCTTTATATATATATATATATATATATATATCTGTATATCTATCTATCTATATATCTGTATATCTATCTATATATCTATCTGTATATCTATCTATCTATCTATCTATTTAGCTGTATATCTATATATTTGTCGGTCTGTATATCTATCTATCTATCTATCTGTATATCTATCTATCTATCTATCGGTCTGTCAGTCTGTCTATCTATCTATCTATCTATCTATCTATCTATCTATCTATCTATCTATCTGTCTATCTATCTATCTATATATCTATCTATCTATCTATCTGTATATCTATCTGTATATCTATGTCTATCGATCTGTATATCTATCTGTATATATATATCTATCTATCGGTCTGTCAGTCTGTCTATTTATCTGTCTATTTATCTGTCTATCTATCTGTTTATCTATCTATCTATCTATCTATCTATCTATTTAGCTGTATATCTATCTATTTGTCGGTCTGTATATCTATCTATATGTATATCTATCTATCTATCTATCTATCTATCTGTATATCTATCTGTATATCTATGTCTATCGATCTGTATATCTATCTGTATATATATCTATATATCGGTCTGTCGGTCTGTCTATTTATCTGTCTATCTGTCTATCTATCTATCTATCTATCTATCTATCTATCTATCTATCTATCTATCTGTCTGTCTGTCTATCTATCTATCTATCTATCTATCTGTCTGTCTCTCTGTATATCTATCTGTATATCTATCTATCTATCTATTGGTCTGTCTATCTATTGGTCTGTCTATCTATCTATCTATCTATCTATCTGTATATCTATGTATCTGTCTATCTATCTATCTATCTATCTGTATATCTATGTATATGTCTATCTATCTATCTATCTATCTATCTATCTATCTATCTATCTATCTATCATCTATCTATCTGTATATCTATCTATCTGTATATCTATGTATCTGTCTATCTATCTATCTATCTATCTGTCTGTCGGTATGTCTATCTATCTATCTGTATATCTATCTATCTGTATATCTATCTGTTTATCTATCTATCTATCTGTCTATCTATCTATCTATCTGTATATCTATCTATCTGTATATCTATCTGTTTATCTATCTATCTATCTATCTATCTATCTATCTATCTATCTATCTATCTATCTATTGGTCTGTCTGTCTATCTATCTATCTATCTATCTATCTATCTATCTATCTATCTATATGTCTGTCTGTCTATCTATCTATCTATCTATAAGTCTGTCTGTCTATCTATCTATGTATATATCTATCTATCTATCTATCTATCTATCTATCGGTCTGTCTATCTATCTGTATATCTACAGTGTTTGAATTTGACAGTTAGTGTGATGATGTCACTGCACTGTGCAGGGAGTGAAGCACAGAGGGCTGCGCCCCCTCAGAATGAACACAGTGATAAACACATGGCCCCACCCCCTCAGACTCAACACAGTGATAAACACACGGCCCTGCCCCTCAGAATGAACAGTGATGTCTGCATGGCCCCACCCCTCAGAATGAACAGTGATCTGTGCATGGCCCCGCCCCCTACGACTGAACAAAGTGATCTGTCCATTGCCTGTGATGTCAGAGTAGGCGGAGAGCTGACCCAGCACTGAGGGAGATTGACGCTAGAATCAGGTAAGTACAGGCATAACCCACTTTTAAAAACGAAGAGAATGTTACCTGCGCTCTGGCCTAAATCCCCATGTACATTTAAACAAAATGGAGGCTCTTTAGTTTTATTCCAATGGCCATTTGAATATATAAGCTCACCTGCCACTTTTAAGTACAAAATGGGACCAGAGCATGTATTTAAAACGTAAATGTACTTAAAGTGACGCAATACCTTTTTTCACTTCCCAGTGCATGTACTGCATTGCAATAGGCATTTACAGGCATAGCTGATATAAATAAGCAAATGCAATTTTTTTTCTTCTGATTTTCCTACCACATTTCCTGCTTTATTTGCAGTGAATCTGCAAGGATTGCTTTAAAACAGCTTTGAAAGCTGGAAGTAAGATATCGATTTAAGCCATAGAGCTGTGGGGTGAGGGGGGTGAATTCGCAACTACCAGTCACAAGGTGAAAACAGCCAGAGGGTTGTCTGGACAAACAGTGCCCTAGAAAGAGAAACATTGTTTGCCATGGGGTCAGCAAAATGATTCCCTTCATTTTAACCCGAAGAACTGGGTAAGTTTTCATTATATTGATTTGCTATTGTGTTTAAGTGAGTGTCACAATGGTAAGCTCAAAATATTGCGATAATCGATCACTTGTAGGTTAAGGGTGGGTCAGATGAATTTGGTTTTATATATTATGAATCTGGGGTTTATTCATTAAAGTATGACTTGTGGAGAACGAAAGAGGGAACTACGAGAGAAGAGAAACCTAGTCCAATTTAGCCGAACACACAAAGGTATCCGAGTTCGGCAGTTTTTCCTAATATGTGTAAGTACAGTACTCACTTTGCCAATTAGGGTAAAACAGCAGCCCACATTAACAGTCCTCTGGAGCAATGCCAGAGCAAGCATGTCTCTGAGTAAACATGACTGTACAGTCATGATGGCTCCCAGTGAATTCACATGAGCATGCGCGGGAATGTCTGTACTCATGAATCACTTTACGTACACTCGCGGGTATGTCCGTACTTGTGAGTGTATGTAAAGTGAGGGTTCATAAAGCGGGGTATGCCTGTACAGTTGTTTAACCCTTACAGTGCCGGGGTGGGGTGTAGTGAGAGGGGGGACAGAGAGAAGTATAGTGTAAGGAATACACTATAGTATTCCTTACACTATAGTATCTGTGACGAGAGCAATCTCGCCACATTGCATTGGAGAAGCCTGGTTACTCGCCTGTTGCCTTTGGATTATGGCCCCATGTTAAAAGGCTTGATTTTCCCCTGCAAAGACAAGAAAGCCGGGTCATTTGGTGCTTGCCCTGTTTGAGCAGTGATACCCCAGATAGCTATGCCATGGAGCCCATTCATATAATGAAAGACTATGGGAAAGACTTTGGCTCCATGGCAATTGAACTGTATGTGTGTGCTCTGAGCGCCATTCAGTAATAATGTGCGCTCAGTCCTAAATGTAACCTGGTGTATTTTATTGTATTTTACTGTCTTTTTGCTGCCATGTGTTCAATGGAGTTTTGCCTCTGTCTTTGGAGATAATTGGATTACTTCTAATTATCTCCAGGATAGAAGACTCTGTGGAACTGGTTTTGGGCAGAAAAGCCATGCTTCCTGTGGTCACAAAGGACTGCGATCTATCTTTTGAACCACTGGACCAATTTGTATGATTTTGACGTATGTTTGTATTTGGAGTATGCTGATTCTGAAAATGTAAGTTATGTGAATGTGATGCATACTTTTCAAGTTATGAATAATGTGGAAAAATTGTATTTCTCTGCTTGTGCTTAACCCCTTAAGGACACATGACATGTGTGACATGTCATGATTCCCTTTTATTCCAGAAGTTTGGTCCTTAAGGGGTTAATTACATTACCCATTGTGTAAGGTAATTGAATCACATGCAGAGGGGAGGAATTTGTGTGGGAGTGTCTGAGTGTATTGTATGTGTTTATTGGTTGTGTTCCAAAACCCTGTGGGTGGTACTAATGTGTAAGAATGTGTACATAAGCACAATAAACCCACAACTCTGTCTGACCACTGCTTGACCCTTAACACGTAGCCTTGTCTCGTCTTTGGGGGGATTTACTGAATGCTGTTAGAGACTGATTGCTAGGAGTGTAAGCCGCTTGGATGCTTTTCCTATTCGTCTGGTAGCAGCAATTCGTATGGTTCCTGTTCGTGTATTTGGAGTGCTATATTGGATGCCGTTCAGGAGTTTGGAGCATTCACTTATTGGCGGTTCGTGTGTTTGGTGTTCTGCAGTAGCTGTGCCTGCATCTCTGGAAAGGGGGCCGATCAACTAAATGGTTTTTACACCTTTTGTGCAAAACGGTCTGTTGCAGTATCCCTTTAATCCCTTTTTGTAAAAGATACACATTTTGTAAAATAAATATTTGGGTAGTTGACATTTTTGGTTTGCTTATAGAAATACAAATACACCATCTGTTTGTATGAGACAGAGCTAAATAATTTATTTGTTTACACATTTTTGGTTTTTTTAGTTAAAGATTGACACAGTCACAAGAAAAGCAAAGTGTTGACACTACAGTCCAGAGGGTTCCTCGCCAATTAAATCCAACCAGTGTATATAATTTGCTACTGCTTATGCAGCAGATAAACATTGTGTTCTATTTTCATCAAATGGTTATAAAGTATTAGCAAGATGGGGCCAACATTAACTCCCCAAAATATAATTTCTTTGGAGTGATCTATATTTGGAAAATCAACTCCACCACTTTACACAGTTGCATAAGGTCATCAAACACGATGTCCTACTGTACAAGTTATATTTTAGTAAGTTCCATATATAAAATCTAAACAATATGAACAATATGGAACATCGACATTTCACCTGTACAACAGCAGTTAATATATTTTGCGCTGGATTTTCACTTGCATTACGCCTTATCAGTATAAAGAAGAGAGAGAATGCAGAAAAGGCATTAAAGGCACAACGTTGACTTTGTAGATTTCTGCTTCATTGTTGTGGATATCCATCATTGGCTTCATATTACATCTTCTGTCTGAAGCTCAGAATATGTCTCTAACAATGCTTATGATGGGATTCTAGAACAAAGAAGACATATATAGTGTTGGAGTGATGATTGTAACCTTGTTAGTCCAGTGATGCAGATGCAAAATAGCAAAATTAGTTATCTTTTTTTTATTGGACTAATAGAATTTTGGAATGATAAGCTTTTGGGATATCTTCCCTTTCTCAAGGCCAGGGATGATCTCCGGAAACCTTGACATTCCAAATTTTTTGGAGTCCAATAAAAAAGGTTTTACAAGATACTACTTCTACCTGATAAAGATATATTGACAAAAAGCTAACTGTTGATGTATAAACTTCTGTTCATTATCTTATATGCTTACCAATACACTATAAGAGAATATAGTGCATAGTGCAAAATGGGATGCTATTGGTTTCAGTGCAAACTTTAAATCATATAGGATTCCAGGTGTATTCTAATCCTCCAGTTTATGTGATATTTAAATAATGAACTTAATTTTAATTTCTTATTTCACAAAGTTAAGAACAGTTAAGAAATAATTTCCACATTTTTCTTGTGTAATACAAACCATTGATTTAAATATAAAACAATACTATATAACACTTGACTTAATGAGCATGATTAATTACCAATATAACCATACATCATTTTCTTTTTTATTTTAGCTATTAATAGAGTTACATATTTAATTTACATTAGAAAGTGATCTCATAGATTGTGAGCTTGTTTGAGCAGGACCTTCTTCACTTCTTCCTCTTTTTATGATGACGAAATGCTATGGAACATGTTGGCACTATATTAATTATATACTTAGTAGAACAATTTAGAGATGTCCGTGACTTACCTCCTGAAGCATTATGATCTCCAACACTGCAAGGGGAAAAAAAATTAAATTATTTAGACTAATTAATTTTGCTTATTCATCCGCACTAATCCATTTCAGTCATATTGATCTGACCTTTACTTTTAGTATTTTACTTTTATGTAAAGTTCCCCATTAATGTACCTAGTGCCATGATATCTAACTGACCATTCACCAATTGTCAGTATTAAACTATTCTGATTGCTCTACATACTCAATGTTGTGTCCATCCAGTAGATGTCTGTAGGTGTTGATTTCCATCTCTAGATGAGTCTTCTGGTCCATGAGAACTTGGTATTCGTGGTTCTGTTGTTCTAGGTCAGATCGGACCTGTGCTAGTTGAGACTCAATGTTATCAATCATGCATTGTAACTGGGAAAGTTGGGAGCCGAACGTTGCCTCCGTCTCTGATAAGGTGCCCTCTAGAGCTGAATTCTGCAATTATTGAAAGGTTTTATCACAGTCTTCTGAAGGAATTATCAAGTGAAAAAATGCTTTTCAACAATGAAAAATAACTTTTCGCTGAGTAAAGCTAGATTCTCCTTGTTTTACCATATAATCTATTATTTTACTATGAATTGTAAAGCTTGCATGTATTTTATAACATCGCCATTTTACTAGAGACTGTCACCAAAAACAAAAATGTAATTGCATCGTTACCCAAACATGCTAAATTCTAGCTGAACCCTGAGGAGGCAGACAGGGCCTAGACAGAACAGGGACATGTATGAATGTGGGGGGGGGGAGCGGGTGTAGAAATTGGAGTAGAGGGGAGTACAAGGATTAGCTCATTAGTAATCTGATTCTCTCAGCCAATGAGTTAGTCTTTCATTACTGGTCTTAACACAGAAGAGCTAACAGAAGCTTTCTGTTTAGCATCTGAAGTAGTGGAGACAGGAAGTGTTCCCCTGGAGACCCCAGGTAAGAAGTCAAGCCATTCTAAAATGGTTTGACAACTTACAATGGGGGCACCAGGGCACTCCTTGCACTGCAAGCTGTAGTGATTATGGTGCTTGGAGTGTCTCTTAAAACCTTTTGTTAAGAAACGTGAACTAGCGATAAATGAAACATGATCACAACCAACTCAAGTCAGCATAGCAACATACAAAAATCTGCACCTGGCATTAGGTAAACACTCCAATCTATTATACCAAACCTTGCAACTAATCAAAAGTCTACAGTGCTACTGAGAAACTATGAGATCTGATGAACAAGTAGTAAATCTATTGGACACCGAGACTCCAAAGCTGTCAGAAAATTGCTGCGCTAATACGTTGACTAATAAAAGAAGCTATACCAAAAAATATATTTGAAAATGTTAGAAATTCTAAATCTATAATCCTTGGCAATGCAAATTGACTGTCCAAAGGTTTGCACATATCTATTGATGCTGACTTACCATACTTAGCTGACTTTGTAGTTCAATTTCCAGGGTCTGTACAGCGCGTCTTGAATCAATAATCTCATTATTAACCGACTGAAGTTGCGCAGCTCCTGAAGACACTTCACGGTCCAGTTCTGTGCTCTGCATGGACAAATAAATAATACTTATTACTAGAAATATAATTCAGTACAATGTGCATCACTTCAGCTAAGGTTTTAAAGGTATACAACTCAATCAAGACATCACCATGGTCAAATAAAATAAATATTTTCATAATTTTGATAATTATTAATTATTACAGAAAATTAAGTCTGTAAATTCTGTTTGCATCTATAGATGTTTGTAGTATGGGGATACAATCTAGAATGTGTCTATAAACGTTCTGTTGGTGAGAGAGAGTTAGAATTACCCTTGCCAAGAAGATACTCTCGGCTTCCCTGAGATTCCTCTCCATCAGGTTTTCGTATTCCTCTCTGACCTCAGATAAAGCTCTGTTCAGATCGACAGATGGAGCAGCATTCATTTCAACATTGACTCTTGTTCCAAGCTGAGAACGCAGCCCATCTACTTCCTTTATGTGGGGAAATAAACATCCATGATCAAAAGTCAAAGGAAAACATTCAATCAATGGGAAAATTCATCTTTGCACTTTGACTGCTATTAAGAAATAAATAAGAAATAATTTTACTATTTATGTAAAATGTAACCTGTAGGGTAAGACAAAATCCTTGAAGGTTTTCAATCACCTACATAGTGCTCTAAATTAAAAGCAGTTTTTCTTCAAATGTGTATGTTAGTCAGTGTCAGACCTACGGAAGAATGTCCAGATGAATACATAGAGATTTACGTCTTTGTTAGGCTCACAATTTGAAGAGCCAAGCTACTAGCCTGGTCTAAATATACTCTCCAGCTCCAATGACCAATGCCAGTTTTTTGTTTGCGTGTTTGTGAAACAAAGTGTCAGTGTGTGTGTTGTTGGAGTATATTTGAGCAGAATGTGAGTGTGTCTTTGAATTCAGGGATGTATGTGTTGAGTATCTCTCTGATTATGAATTCAGTTGTTTATTTCCGTGAATGCAGAGCTATGAAGAGTCACTGTCTGTGATTGCAAGGATGTTTTTGTAGGCAACGTCAGTATCTGTGTTTTTTACCTCCTCATCAAATTTCAGCACGTTATCGTCGCCTTCTATTTGTCATTGCCCTTACCCTTGCCTTTTGCTTTTCGCAAGTCACTTAACCATTTCTATATTCATGTCAACTCTCCAGGAAGAAAATATTGTTGCACAGCTTGACTACAAGTAGTATACTGCATTGAGTAAACATTAATCCCAAATCCCAGCCTTGCTTGCCGAGGCTCAGTTTTCACTCGTCCATGGAGAATGGGCATATGGAAACTGTTAGGCTTGTGTAAATTGAGTATCAATTCTATTACATAGACGAGAATTATAGATTATAACAGTAGATAAATAGATATGCAGTCTTGAGCTAGTTCCCTTTAGTTTTTCTCATTGCTCTTTTCTCCACCCTAACTCTTCCAGTGTATATCTATTACAGATTATGCTCTCTATCCATAGCTACGTTTCCTTAGTTGACATATCTTTGAATAAAATACAGTACCATACGTATCAAAATAGTCAAATTAAAATAATATGAGTATAATGCATTAATTTTCTAAGCATTGTTTTGACCAAATATTTAATTTTTTACTTTTTTAAAATTCTTTATTTATCATTTTTGGGTGCGTCATATTTAAGTAGTACAGACATGTATTTATGTTGTTTCAATAGAAAAGTACTGGCAATATGTCGTTAGAGATTTGCACCATATTTTATGTCAAGCATGAACAGGTTTAGGAACAACAATAACATGTTTAACAATGCATTATGTTCAATGCAACGGTATCAATATGTTCTGTGCACCCTCTGAGTTAGAAAGAGACATGGTGTACGAAGGAAGTGCATGTGTAGAGAGGTGTTAGTTGGCTTAGTATGCCATCTGGGCATAAAATTATATAACAGATTATAAAGAAACAAGGTTGCGTTAGTAAGATGGATGCCCTAGGGTTGGGCTCTTTGTGCTGGACTAGTTTAGAGTGCCTGTTTGTTTTTTAACTCAGTTGAGCGTATGGGTGATACATCTAGAGTGGTTGCCCCTAACCAAGGGGGCAGCAGGGAGGGTCGGTGTTTCAGATACTAAGTGTTTAGGCAAATGCTGTGCTGGCTCTTAATTGTTTTGATCAAATATTTTATTACATACAGAATATGAAGACATTAATAATGTCGCTTCTTTGAATACCTAAGTCCTCTTATTCTTTTTCTGGTTTTGTTGAGTAATTACAGGGTTTATTTTCCAGATTATCTATTCTAAAAAAATTGCACGTAAAAAGCATTGGCACGTTTCTCCACATTACCTGTGAATGGTTGTTCCTTAACTGGTTAATTTCCTGCTCGAGACATTGAACTTCCCCGGCAAAACTTTGCACGTCATTGTTAAGTTGGCCTAGTACTCTACTCAAAGCGCCAATGTCTGCCTCCACATTGTTCCTCAAATTCATCTCCATTTCATACCTACATTGACAACAATATTAAATTCAATGGACAACAATATTGAATAGAAATAAAATTATATTATGCATTTATATTATCTATATTATCTATATTATCTATGTTAATAAATGTTTTACAGTAATACTGGTTGAAGGTTCAGTGTTCTGAAACTGGGTGAAAAAAGACAATAAGGATTCTGTATCATGTTTTACCACAAACAAGCTACTTCATGGTAGCCATTAGTAGAGGGCTATCTAAAAATATAGTAATATATATCCCTCAGTGTACTGAATTTGCTTGTATTTTCACAATATGGGAAATACGTAGATACATGTGTGTGTTGATTATGAAATTTTGCATAATTTTACCCTTAATGCCTGTGCGTAGCTATTACCATAAAGAACCACTAGTTAATTTTCATATGTGGACATTTAAGAAAGAATACAAGAATGATGGTTAATTGACGTGCAACTTCAGAAGATTAAAAAAAACAAACGTATTAGCCAAATCATGGGATCGAACAGTTAATGTTGAGAAACAAGAGTCGTCACTTTCTTTCAAAGAATCATCAGTAAACCTGAGATTTGTATTGGCAATAAATGTAAGATAGTAAAAGACAGTCTACGGCTACTGCACTAAATTTTCAGAAGTGAAGGCTACAAAAGAATATAGCTACCCCATCACGGCTAGCGCTTGTTATTGACTCAAAAGCTGTCGGGCAACAGATCATTTACTTTGAACAAGATAAAATGGGTTGACATCTTGTAAGCATTCACCTTGTTTTTTGCTATGGAAATGTGAATATTAGTGTATTCAAGCTAACTCAAACCTTTTAGATTCTTCCTAAAACAAATAATATTTTTATTACCATCACTGCCAACCTCAATATCTGATTATTACTGTATGAACATAATAAATCACCATGGTAACACAAACACCTGTGCAATTTCATGTAGTGAAGTCTATAGTTTGCTTCTTTTTTTTTTTCTAAATGACTGGTATAAACGTACTTGCTTTTGAAGTCACCTGATGCTTGTTGAGCATTATCTATCTGCAGGACTAAACTTGCATTGCACGTGGCGACTGAAGAAACCTGTACAGGAAACAAATTCACCTAATTAATTATGTGTCGTCTAATGAGTCAACATTTTACATTCTGTGGAATTTTCATTCTTTTAATTTTCTTTGGATACTGGCTAACCATGGATACTCTATTTTACACGTATTGACAAAAGATTGAAAATATAATTTATCTTTCGTGAAGAAGTCTTCGAATAGAGAATATTTGACATCCCTATATCTCCATGTATTTCCTTGTCATTGTATACTAGTAGAATATGTTTTAGGTGTTTTCTAACTGGTATTCTGATTACTTTCTGAATTAAATACATTTACATTTAAAAGCATGCTTAATACAAATCGTGAACAAGACTATTACATTGATTTAGGCAATTTTATGTATAAATAACACATTTAAATTCACATTGTAGATAGTTCCTACAACCATCTTAGATGTATTGTTTAATGTAATATTTTTGGCTTACTTAAAATGAGACATGTCTTGTTTTACCTGGTTCTGGAGCTCCTGAATAGTCCTGAAGTACTCACTGGAGTCAGGGAGTGAGCTTGGGGCATTGTTTGCATACCATTCGCATATCTTCCTTTCCAGCTCGGCATTTTCCTGCTCCAGTGAATGGACCTTATCTAGATAGGAGGCAAGACGCTCATTTAGAGCCCTCATTGTATCTTTCTCATTAATATGAAGTAGGTTATGAGTGTGGCTGCTAGAACTCTTGTAGTGACCATGACCACTTCCACCTCCATGTGCTAGACCAGCAAATGAATGGCTTGATAGTTTTGCACTTCCTCCTAAGTGGCTGGATGATTTATAATAACCACCATGATTAGAACCACTGGAACTGTTATGTTGGAGCTTATAGGAGCTTCCATGCTGAGCTGATGACCCATGACTTGAAGAACAATGCCCTCTAGATTGGTGGGCTCCCATAGAAGATCCACAGGATGAGTAACTACCATGGTGGCTCATGTTGCTATCTGAATTTTCTTACGTTGGAAGGGAAATGTAAACTGCTTAATGCTCAGCTAGTAAACTTTGAGTGTCTCTTCGACTTTGACCTTCTTATATATGAAGCAAATTCCATATAATGAGATTACTTTTATGGGTAATTTACAGGCATGAGAATTCTATTCATAATGTTTTGTATCTGCCTTAAAATGAGCATCAGCCATAAAGCTTAATTTATGGATTAGTGAGGAAGCTCACAGAGTGGCTAGGAGAGTTATGATAACTCTAAATTATATTAACTAATGTACATCAAAAGGTACATAGCCTCACTCCTTTGTGATGTCTATCTTAACATGGTATGTTGCAGGAGTTTAGAGGCTTGATCTCTTACACTTTGGCTACATTAGGAATGTTGTTCATGTCCAAAACACTCACAGACTATGTCAGACTTGGATTTTATTTAAAGTAAAGTTGTTTTTCAATTTTTATTTATTTTATATTAGAGATTTGTTTTCTTTTTAATCTGTGCTCTTTGATCTTATGCCTGTATTTATAACATCATCTACTTTAGGGTGGGAAGCTTGATATTTTAGTTTTCTCTTCAAAGTTTTTTTTTGTGATATGGTGCATTGAGATGGCATTAGGTGCTGTTATCGCAGCCAGTCAGAGTATTCAATGCTATAAATCATGATAAAAGAGAGAACAGAGATAATCTTTGTCTTCTTGTGATAATTGCTTTCCTGCTGCCATGCTGTGAACCTACTATGGTCCCAGCTGCCGTAAAGCAGGTCTGTCATCACAAAACCCTTTTTTTTTCTGATAAACCTCCCCATCACATCAATGTCCAACAAGTTTAGTTATTTTCCCAACTTTTTTCACTTCCCCTTATCTAAATATATGTTTCTGTCTACCGGGTCTCTCGGCAAACGGAAAATCAAATTATATGGCCATGCTCCTTGGCGGGGAGGAAAATTTGTGGTAGAAAAGTAGGTAATCTACAAATATGTATAAGTATAAGAAAAATGCAAGTAGTACCAGGCTTAGCTCATCATCTGACGTGCCTTTAAAGGGACACTGTAGTCACTGTGTCTGTGTCTTCTCATTTAACTGGTGATAGTATCTTTTGTCCTCTGATGCAATGATTTCATTCGGCATTAAACAGTTTTGAATATTTTTATGTTTTAATGCTAAATGAGAGTCCCTCGCAGCCCATACCTCTGCACTGCTTTGGCTAATAAGCTGAGCAGCAGTTGGCAGCTGTGATTGGTTGAGAGTGTCCGCTGGCTTCTTTTATACTATCAGAGTTCCAACTGACAGTATGAAGGGTATAACTTCAAGGAAGTATGGAATCTCTGACTTAGCCACAAACTTCTGTAGGGTCTGGACTCTGAGTGGCCACTGACCCTTATTTAGTGTTAAACTGCTTTAAAATGATTCACACTGAATGGAGGGACAGTGCCAGGGGGCTCAGGACCTATAATCCTTTAACTGAAGAAAAGGTTTATGTACTTTGTGAGCAGAAAAGTAGACAATGTAATAACAGAAGAGTGATAACATTAGAACTAGGTACAGCAGATTACATTAAATAGTGTGTTCTTTAAATGAAAGTATAGAAAGTAAGGAACCTGACAATATAATTGCCAGATATTTGGCAAGAATAAGATATTGTCCTACAGGCAAAGTTATAATAATGTAGTCATAAAGCATGACTGTAAACAAACAATATCATGTTAAAAGCAGACAAAACTGGGATATTATATTAATTAAGCATGATTCATTTTTAATAAATCTAAGTGTCCGCATTGATTCTTCTGCATTCCTTTGATGTGTACATGGTAATACTCTACATATAAGGGTGTATAGTCTGTCTGGTGTTTAGTTTGTTACAAATCTTTAATAGTGAGTCTTACAATGCAGTTATGATATTCTTTCAAGTGCTGAACCACTCCAAGTTATGTATAGCTTAGCTCATTATGACATTATTTTTAAGTTCTCTTTCTTTATATTTCAATCCTAGCTATCACTGGTCTGTGTGTGCCTCGTGGTCCTTGTGTACGTGTGCCTGTATTGTAGTACGTATCTGGGTGCATGTATCTGGAGGTGTGTATCTATTTGTGTGTATGTGAGTGTACATTTGTGTGTGCATCCATGAGCCTGTCTGGATTGTACATGCGTGCATGTTCGTGTATGTAAATGTGTGTAACTCTATGTCTGCGAGTATGTGTGCTCAACGTGTGTGTGTCAGAAGCTGCTTGAGGACCAGCCATGTTTGTTGTGTATATGGGAAGGCTTTGTGAGGGTTACTGTATGTTTGAGTTTACTATGTGTGATATGTGATGGGAAATATTATGTATGTGTGAATGGGTAACTGTTATTGTGTGGGGTGGTGTGACTGTGTGTGGAGGGTGACTGTGTGTGTGAGGGTGATTGTATGTTTGAGGTGAATGTGTGGGGGGGGTGAGTGTTAAGGGGTGTATGACTGTGGATATGTGTAGGGTTCATTGTGTGTGAGTAGGTAGCTTCCCAGACATTGCAGCAGTGAAATAATTTGTTGTCACTCTTCTGCCTACCTTTGGATATTTTCTTTACAGTTTCCTGATCATTTAATGGGGCAGTAATGGTTGCACAGTGGGCTGAGCTTGTGGTCTGAAATTCCTGTCAAGGACCACAAGATAATGTTCGCAGTGATCTGCATTTGTCGGAGTTGCAGACCACAAACTCCCTTGCTATTGTGTGTGGGTTCATGGCTGCTCTGGCAGTTCATTAGATACTTTCACCGGACAAGGCCCCCTCAGAGTTTCCCTATTAATTTTATAGCTGTACTCGGCTTATATTTGCATTATTTAGTTATTTTTATTTTCTTATCTGGAACACTGAGCCCACTGCATATTTTATTTATCAAAGCGCTACACTGAGAATAAGCAGAAGCTTAAAAGCCAGCCCAACAGTAAGCTCCAAAGATGAGAAAATGGCTTCCAGATTACCTCCCAAAAGTAAATTTAATAACCTTAAGCTATTCTTTGTGTGTGCTGCCATCTTGAAATTGGGTTCTGGCTTCAGTTCCTGGTACCTCATCCACCAAGAGATCTTATTATTTCTGGCAAAATTGACTGTAGAAATTCTGCCTTTTGTCATCTTCAGACTGGACTATAAAACAAAATGGTCCTTACTTTGATTTATCACATATTTTACTTATGTTGGGATATCAATGAAAATCCACCACAGTCAATATGATTATTTCAAAGTAATGTTATTTTATAGCTTACATAGAATTTAGCTCTTCAAAATACACAACATTGTTCTGATACTTGACTCCTTGGTAGATTAAGTAATACAACATCCTAATGTCCTAATTTCTGCCGAGTCCCAGATAAGAAGGTGCTTTTAATTTTTTAGACGCAACTAAATGTTCCTTTAAGATAATGTAACAATATTTTGTGATGTTAAGCTAATTAAACTGCAGACCTCTTGAGTGCAAACTATGGATGGCTGTGGACCCTATTCTTCCTGCACTGGTTAAAGAAGGTGTTTCATTTTCCTGTCTTTTTTGTGGTCCATTGGTGTTGTAGGTTCCATAAAAATGGCAGCTGCCCCAGGTATCTATTTAATGTCTCACTTTTACCTGAAGTTTCCAGAAAAAGCAGTGCTTTCTAAGTATTACTCCAAGCACCTTGACCAGTCTGCACAGAGATATAGCACTTTACTGCTGATGATGAATCTCCACCTCTGCCAATTAGCCAATGTAAGTTCCAAGGTGACCTAGGTTAATTCTGTGCAGAGAGAACTTGGCTTCATCTTGCCAAAGCAAATCTTACTCATAAATATTAAAATATGAAGCATAGTTATTTTGGTGAGTAACCTAAGAGTATTGAGCATGTGATATGGCACTAAGGGACATTGCCCAGAAATATGTGTTTTGATAAATGATTAGTAAGAGTAAAAGTTGAATTTAAGATAAAATCACCCCCTATATGTTACACCAGGCTTCCCCAAACTCCAGCCCGCCAGATGTTGCTGAACTACAACTCCCATGATTCTCAGCCAATCTATTTCATTCATAGAATCATGGGAGTTTTTATACATATATATATATAATATATAGATATTACATTTAGAGAAGGATCCCACAAGAGCATACGTGCGTTACCAGTTGGTGCCCCCTTCTCCCTGAAGAACTGGGTCAAGCATTTTTCTGTTTTGGGGCCCTTTGGGCCCAAGGCAGCTGCCTTAGGTCATCTTCATGGTTAATCCTTATTTATTTATTTATTATTTATTACTGGTATTTATAAAGTGCCAACAGATTCCGCAATCCTTCAGTTATGATATGTATATGATTATGTATATTTAATTTTTTATACTCCTTATAGTAAATACTGCACTGTAATTAACTTTCCACTAATCTCCTTTTTGCTTCTCGATACTATTTCAGAAGTCATTGAATTATTATCACTTTTCATTAAGTGACTGAATGTATGGTTAAACGTTACCCGGTCAATTAATTCAAATGGCAAAAGGTGCCATGCAAAACTACATTGTCATTTCTGTTTTCTCTTTAAACAAAAAAGTCATATACAATAACAATTTCAATTTGCATTAGATTAGCAACTTTATTAAAAAAGAATATTCAGTGAAAAAAGTTATGGACAGTTACAGAAAAGTTTCAAAGGACGGTACATTTCATATAAAACCCACATACAACTTAAGGGTAAGTTAGTAAAAATAAACAAATTGTGAACAAAATTGGAATTATGAAGTGGATGTTGTCATATGGATTTGTGTTTTGAAAATTCAAATAGGAATCCAGGTTGATGCTTGAAAGTTTTCCATTTAAAAATCTTCTTTGGTACTGACATGTTTCAGGAAAACATCTCAATATTTAATCTGTTAAATGTATATGAGGCAATATAAATGAAAAAAAATAGAATTGTATTATAAATACAGTACTTGGTATACTTAAGTAAAAATATTGCAAATGATTGCTTTGCTTAAAAAAAATGATAATTAGGCATTTAAATTAACAA